ACCAATTTCGTTTGCAATAAAAACATGAAAATATTTTCGCGGCGGTGAGAAAATAAAGAAATGCTAGCGGCCAGCAAGGTGAAAATGAGCCGAAGTGAGAAAAAAATTGAACCGAGGAACACATTCGACATTTCCCCCCTAAAACGTGTAACTAGGGAGTTTCTGGAAGCTTCACGTCGTAGTCTTGCTACTGAAGCAACGGCAAATGAATATACTAAAAAGTGTGCTGCAGGTGTAAAGTTGTTTTTTCCTAATAAGACCTATTGACTTTTTTTTGCCCGTTTTCGTTGCCGTCGCTGCTTAACATTACACGATGTTACTCTGAGTAAACTATAAATACTAACGTGAGCTTCACTTTAAGCCCTGGCTAAATCTTAAATATTATCTTCGCTAAACGAGAGGGTGTCGATCGCAAATGATGCAAATGTTGCTCAACGGTAAACTTTGCAAAGTTTGCAGTTGAAACAATTAAACGGAAGGTGATAAACTACTTTAGCTTCTTGATTCTCTTTAAGCGATTTAGTAATGTTTACCACATAATAACCAAACTCTTCTGTACTATAATTATGTCAGATTAATATTTTATTTTGGACGCTTTAGTGTTGAGATAATTAATTTTTTAGTAGACTTCCGTTGAGGACCTTAAATCCAAATGAAACTTGAAGCTTCGATTGCTTTTTATTGTCTCCTACAAACTCTATAAACTGTGTGACTATACTGTAACCTTTTTCGGGTATTGTTTTCTTAAAAAGAGAACAATATTGTTGTTTCACTTTAGGATCAGACAATTCGGCTTAGTTCATAATTGGACTGAAAAAAACGTAGCTCTTTTTAGCGGTTTATATTATTCAGGTCCTAGAAAACTCATAGAGGAACAAGATTTCTTTCTCCGAGGATATTGCTGCAAAATTTGAAAAAATATGTGCACTTAATGATGCAGTTTGAAAATTCACATCATTTTGTTATAGAAAGGAGAAGAGGACAAAAGGCTGAACAAAGAACACAATCAACTGTGATATGTTTCTTTACAGGATACATGTTTCACAAGCTAGGTATTTCGTAAGAAACCACACACAATCTCGTTCGATAGTACTACATGGCTGCATAGTAACTGGAGTCATAACTTTTTGGCGTTTCATTCTGTGAAATCTAGTATGATGAAATGCAAATTGTTTCCAAAGATTTAAACCTGGAGTCAGTAGAAGTGGTTTTAAGTGATTTGCTTAACCTGTGAAATAGGTAATGGACCACTACGCACTATTGTTTACGCCCCCTGACTAACTCTATTATCTTTTTTTGTTTACTGGTAGCTATTTGGCTTAAGTGGTTGGTATTTGTTTCTTCACGGTTAACAGAAAATACTCTCAGAGTAGGCAATTAACCACGTACAAAATAAGATAATAAAGACAAAGACATTATTCGGTGTGAATTGCTTAGTAACTACCAACTTGTAACCCCCTTTGATTTCTTACATAGTTGTTAAAATTTAATTGTCTTGATATCATCTTTACATGCTTATTAGCCGTTTAGCAATCTTTACAATTTTTTTTTCTTGAAATTACTGTTATGGAGGCACTAAGGGCGAACTTGTTTCATATGACAAGAGCATAAATATAGACTGAACTTTACAAACTGTTTACAGTTAAAAAGTGTACAAAACTAGATGCCTTTCATCCGTTTTTAATCACAAAAAAACTACTCTTGCCGCGCGTTAGCTATTATACTACCTTAGTTGCTTGGTTAGCCATTGGATTCTACAAAAACAAAAAAAAACAGAGAAATCGCTTATTCTCCACCATCGATCTTCTATACCCAAGAAATCCAAGGTCAATTTCGAATTCATTCGCAACGAGCTGAAACGCATCGAACACAGATGCTCCTCACAAATATCAGCAACACAACACTTAGCCTTATTCTCACACGTCACGGAGGGAAGCGAAAGGGACCGCGAACGACCTCGGACGTGTGAGAATCAGGCTACACAGCACTGAGCAAAACTCATTCCACGACATCTTTCGTGCGTCTGGAAGGATAATACAGAGAACAGCTAGTACTGAGTGCACGAAGCGCCCCAAGAGGCCTTTTAAAAGAAACGTTATCAACCTGTCAACACTGAATCGTCATACTACAAATTAAAATTCCGTACCGGCATTTCAGAACGATTCATCAATCACAGGATCACGGCATTTTCGGAAAAGAAAACATCTCTGTACGTAATGCCCTCAGACGAGCTCTGTCCCACACTAAACATGCACCAGGGAGCGTACATGTACCAGAGACAAGTGCCCCATCTTCAACACCAAATTGTCAGGTTTACGAAAGAAACGCGGAAACGCAGTCCACCAGATCACGTGTAACTTAAGTTTTTATATTTTAATCTTACGGCAGTTAGGGCCCTCACTAAAGTCACAATATTTTACTGTGAACTGGGTATTGCCGTTTATTTTTGTGAGCGTATTGGCCGGCAGTATAAAATCTTTGTACTAGATCAGTTTTGTAAGTGGTATGTACGTAGCCAAAGAGCTTGTATGAAAGACGAAGATCACAGTGAAACGTACGCACGCCATCTTTGAAAATTCTTTATGAACTCTCTTTGATTCTGCTAATATAGAAAACTACTCAGCTTCTAATAAAGATTAATGAGGAAAATTTAAAGTCTTTTTCTGCCCCAAAGAGCCAATTCAGCCCTGCAGGCCAAAGTCTGATTCAGCCTCTCCTGGAACCATTGTTGAGCACAATTTAAGCCAAAACAGCCCCATCAAATCCCTATTCCAGTCCACGCTGGAATCCGTTTTAGCCCATGGGTCCAAATCAGCCTTAGGACCGTATTGGCCAAATTAGATCCAAAAAATAGTACTGTATTTTACTCACCGAAAAGGCCCTACACTGCATAACAAAAACGCCTTTTTGTCATGCACGTAGGCCCTGTTCCTCTGGGTTAATTCAGAACTTTATTTTTTGATTTACAGTGTGGAGCTAGTTGGGCGCCTCAAATTTTCTTTCATTTGCTGGTTATATTATGAACTGTTTACCTGGGTCTCGTGGCATAATGATAATTTCTGCCTTTTTTCCTTTTCAATAAAATATGATTTGCTTTTTCATTCAAACTCAAAGAAACTCATAGGGAGTTAAAAGGTGTTCTTATTTAAACTCGCCCTTTTACATGCAAGTAGATCTACACGGGGTCTCTACACCCGAAATATTAAGTATAATTTCGAATGCTCATTTAACAAAAGTATAGTAAAATCAGGATTTATTAAGCTTCAGCAGAGAAAAAGGAAATTGCCTTTTTTCGATGAACGGGAAGCTGGAACTGAAAAACGCCGAAAGTACGCAACATTTCACAATCTGTCAGGTCGGTTATTGTTCATCGATCTCAGCATAGCATAGTCAAAAAGAGAGTAACGGTTTGGACTTATTAATTAAGCAAGCATCAATACTTGAACCTTCGAATTCACATTCGATAATCACAACTTCAAAAGCTAGTTTACAAATTAAATATCTCCGATTTTCAAATAAGTTTTAAAAGTTAAAAAGCCCCTTGCATTGCCCACCTATCGAAAGCATTTGAGTTCCGTATTCTGTGCTGTTTTAAAATGTTTTTGTCTGCCCTTTCATGGAAATTGGGCTTTTATCTCATTCGTTACACGTTAAACTGAGTATTTCTATTGTTCTGCGTATAGCGCATCCTTAAGTATATCTTATGTTTTAGGCAATAAGAATCTCCAGAAGGAAATATCACTTTTTAAGTCGATATCATTCTCAAAACATTTTTTATTATCTTACTCTAAACATCGCCCACGCTTGCGTAACATTTAAATTGAGCATCACGTCTTTATTTATATTCGTAAAAGTTGTTGAAGTTATCGACAAAACCCATCCAAAAATAGTAGCGTACAGCTAAAGATAACCAGACTGTTTATCCTTTATTTGTTTGATCATCACCTTTTTTTTCCCGGGGAGTGCGTGTTTTCATTCAGACAGTGCGAGTCTATGTTGAATGTGTTGTGTACCAAAAGAACCGACTTTTTTTTTNAGTGCGAGTCTATGTTGAATGTGTTGTGTACCAAAAGAACCGACTTTTTTTTTTCATTCAGACAGTGCGACTCTATGTTGAATGCGTTGCGCAGTAAAAGAACCGACTGTTTTTAAAAGGCCAGAAAGAAAGAAACAGGAAGAAACAAGGAAAGAAAAAAGACCTTATCATGTAATAACGGCCGGTTCGAGTTACTATATAATAAAGGCTTGGATGTCGACTTGAATTATTGAAATAAAAAACTCCTTAACTTAAAAATCCTCGTTTTTTCTCCCCATGCCTAACTGATCTGGAAAGAAGAAGAAAAGTCAGAACGTGTCAGCTGAACCGTGAACTGACTTGGTGACGAAATAAGCGTTAACTTTGCATTATCTAAATACGTGCTCCGATAACTCTTCTAAAGCGTTAAAAGGCTTCCTAATTCAAGAATGTACAAGAACGTTCTGTCAAAATAATCCAAAACTCAGTTACTTTTGAAGAAATCAAACATACATTGTTGCGGATCCACACTAGAAAGAATACCGCGTTGCCCTGACCGCGCTGATTTCTGTTTTAAATTTGATAATAAAAAAAAAGTGTCAAAAAATAGCGACTCTTTTTAGAATAACCTGTTTGGTGTTTTAAAAAAAAGTAAACGAAAGAGGCTATTCATTTACAAGCTATGGAGAAGGTTTTTCCGGTCAATTCTTAACTTGATTCATAGCAGCTTGCAAAAATAAAATTCAGTTTGCATAAATCAGTCTTTTCTATGACAATTTGGAAAGTGGTCTATATATCTCGATTTAACCCCCTTTCCTGTTTTGAAACAAAGTTGCTTTTTAATTGTGGGCGTAATGCGCTTATTTGTCTTATAACAAGCGTCATGCATTAATCATTTTGTTTGACAAAAGATATAAATGACCAACGTATATTAGTTCGATAGCTTTACTGGACCTTTAAAACTTTCGCTTGATTTGCGCTAGAAATGCTCTGTCTAAGGTTAGTGTTCAGTCTTTGGTTAGTACTCTTCCTTGCGATTGCTCAAGGAATATCTTCTGAATTCCCATACAAGGACTCAGGTTAGTATTAATCGCTTCCCATGAAGGGAAAAGAAAAGCCAGTCTGAAATTTTAAAGAAATGATTCTTAGTTTTCAATTAACTCATCTTTTTGTCCATTGAGAACGTAGTGGTTCTCTCCTGGCCCGGCCACGTATCATTAACCTGAGATCAGGCTTTATCTCACGGGTGTTTCGTATGACGCTAAGAAAAAACCAAAGCAGAGTATCCTTTGTGTTTCAACTTGTTTCTTGTTTTTAGTGGACTATTTACAGTACTCTTTTGGCCGGTTTTAAAGCTACACTTGAGAATGCGGTAAATGCTGTGTTAAATTACTCTGTTTGTCCCATGGTGCAGTCTGGTGCAATAGTTCCATAAATTCTCACTTTCAAAACGAGGCTATGAGCAACGTGGTTGGTGTGTAAAACCCTTCTTGCGAAAATTAGTTTTATTTGCATGAGAGTAAAAAATCATTGTTATAATAATGGCTTCGCACACAGCCTCGCTTTGAAAAAGAGGCTTGGGCAACTCAGAAATGGCCTCTTTGACACAACTTGTTCCCAGACTCACGCGCATTTTCAAACCGACTATTTATTCCAATATTTCATTTGATGAAAGCGCAAGTTTATCGAATGCCAATGCCACCGGAGCACGAGGAGGAGGCTGGGGTGGGGGTAGGAAGCAAAAGACGTATGTTAATTCATGTGTGAGNGTTTCGTATGACGCTAAGAAAAAACCAAAGCAGAGTATCCTTTGTGTTTCAACTTGTTTCTTGTTTTTAGTGGACTATTTACAGTACTCTTTTGGCCGGTTTTAAAGCTACACTTGAGAATGCGGTAAATGCTGTGTTAAATTACTCTGTTTGTCCCATGGTGCAGTCTGGTGCAATAGTTCCATAAATTCTCACTTTCAAAACGAGGCTATGAGCAACGTGGTTGGTGTGTAAAACCCTTCTTGCGAAAATTAGTTTTATTTGCATGAGAGTAAAAAATCATTGTTATAATAATGGCTTCGCACACAGCCTCGCTTTGAAAAAGAGGCTTGGGCAACTCAGAAATGGCCTCTTTGACACAACTTGTTCCCAGACTCACGCGCATTTTCAAACCGACTATTTATTCCAATATTTCATTTGATGAAAGCGCAAGTTTATCGAATGCCAATGCCACCGGAGCACGAGGAGGAGGCTGGGGTGGGGGTAGGAAGCAAAAGACGTATGTTAATTCATGTGTGAGAGAAAAAAGGAAGTAAATTCTCTGGTTCTCCAGGAACATAAAATTCCCTTTGGTTAAAAGGAGACACAAGGTCGGAAATGCTCGCCAACTCTTTGCCTCTAATTCTTCACGTTTTACACCCGTTTCTTCTCATTATTTTTAATTGCTGGTGATTTATTCTGGTGAAGTTTAGGCATTTGTTACATTTTAAAGTACATTATTTCCAAGGCGAATAAGCCTTCATCATTACCTTCGACATTCTCTTTCAAAACAACCCAACTGAACTGATTTCTGACAATCTTGCCTGCCTATTCCTGTTTTAGTGCCGTTGAAGGAAAGTAAGAATGATTACAAGACCAACAAGTCGACATCTTCTTTTCATATACGAGCCACTTCAAACCATCATGACGCACCACAAGAAACTTCTCTTCATATTCCACAAATACCTGCAATACCTGGCTCAGCAGCTGATGAAATTTTAAACCATAAGAGAATTATTGTGGGTCCTGATGATAGAATTCATGTGAAAGCTTCAAAAACTCAGATCATGCCCTTCAGAGCCGTTGTCAAAGTGACGATGAACACGCAAGAGTCATGCTCCGGAGTTCTGATTGGCCCACGCCATGTTCTGTCCGCTGCTCACTGTTTCCACGACGGGCGCAGGTTCTTGACCAAAAAGCGCGCTTTGTATGTGGACGTTCTCCAAGCAAATGGCCGCTTTTCCAAGTTTCGTGTAAAGAAGATGTCTTTGCCACGCGCTTGGTACAAAGTGAAACCTATGAAACCAGAGTACGATTATGCGGTATTGACACTTCAGCTGCCACATGGAAGGCCATATCTCCCAATGAAAGCTTTCTCAATAAAAACACTCAAAGTGTTAACAACAGGCACAATACACTTTGCGTGCTTCCCGAACGACAAACGAGCAAACTCGATGTGGTATTCGTCATGCCCGGTCGGCTGGGCGCCAAGCTCGAGCTCCTACCGAAGTGTAATCTTGAATAAATGTGACGCCACCAGAGGCTGCTCGGGAGCTGGTGTCTACGCTCTACTTCGCAACCGACGAAATCGATACATTATCGGAATCTTATCGAGCGCCATTAATAACAAAGTAGCAAATGTCGTAATACGGTTGACTCCCCAAAAGGTTAGAGAAATATGCGGCTGGATTGGATGGAATCGGAGATCAGGTTGTAACAATAACCTTGGTTAAGGATGAAACAAGCCAATTGAAGAAAATAATTGTTTCTACAATACATGTAAAAGCCGTGTAAAGAAGGTTTATGACATCTGCAGTGTTAAACATTATTTGTTGAGTAAACTGAAAAATGTATTTGTTTTTATCAAACCAAGTTAATAAAATTTAAATTTCAATAGTTTTCCTGAGATATCCCTGTTTTTGAAAGCTAGCCCTGAAGTATAATCAATGAGTTAAGAGTACTTGTAGAAAATAACACGAAACAGCTGTTTACTTATTTGGTCACGATAAACTGCATCAACATTTTTTTTATATCCTTCCCAGTTTCTATTTTACCAGAGGGTCAAGTCGAAAGCCGGAAGAAATAACGCTGTTGTATTATTTTTTAAAGCGTTTTTTAGTTTAAACTAGTCACAACTTGTCTGGCATCTAGAAATCAAATTCTAGAATAAAAATATTTTACACTAACGGCCAGTTTACACGGAGGTGGGGGACCCCAGGTAGGCGAGGTAGCATACGATGGGTCACCCCACCTATCATGTGAACGTGATCAAATTAAAATGAGAGATTGTATGGAAAGGTGGGTTACCCCACCTAAGCGGGCTACCTCACTTACCTAGGGTCCCCCATCTCCATGTAAACAGGCCCTAAATTGCTTTAAGGCGTTCAGATTAACATTCATATTCATAACCCACGGATATCTTGACCCTGCTTGATAAACAGGGGCCTGATGTTTTTTCTAACAGAAAACAGGAAGCATTTTTTTCTGGCAAAGGAGATCGATCCCGATTAAAACGTAGAGATGCTATGAAGCCTACTCGTTCAGTTTATATCCACTCGACTGAATTAAATGGACTGCAAACGATGTTACAAACGTTAACACTTGGCAAGAAATCCTAAACATAATTATTCGAAGATTTATTCTTTCCATTTAGGTGAGGATCCACAAATTGTGGTTAGTATAGAGGTTCATTTTCGAGAAGCTTCACATTTAATTTTTTTTATAAGAAATGTTAAAGTACCGTGAACCCTCCATTCAGCTCCCCCTAATATAAGGCTTCCTTTCGTTCTTAATAAGCCCCCTTTTCAGGGGAAGAAAGTCATTAAGCCGAACCTCTCTGGATTGTGTTGATTTATCAGGACTGTTAAGACGTCATGTGGACCGATCCGGCCTGAATTATTCACATGCTGGAAATGCAAACTTGATTTTCATCTTCAGCAGCATGTCCAATTAGAGAGTGACACTCCTCCAAAAATATGCGATCCCCGAAAGTAGCCATCTCAAAAGTAGTTTCCCTTGTGAAAGAAATAACGGAAATGTGGATATGTAACAAACCTCAACAAACAGTTCGAGATTTGGCGCTTAACAGTATACATACCAAGCTTCCACTTCTCTAGTCCAGTGACACAGAGAAAGAGAGGAGTACGAGTCTCAAAACATGCCCAATATACCCTGCTCCGCTTGTTCGGCCAGGCTACCAAGCTATCGCCATCTTTGTTTTTCTGTTCCGCTTCAAATTGTCACCATGTCGCTGAAAGCTGTGGTCGGACAGCGTAAGTTTGGCCTTTTCTCTCAACCTTTTTCAGCTACTAGGATGATTCCAAATACCTAAATTTCTGTATGTTGTGTAGGTATTATGCAAGACGTGATACGCGCTTTGCAAAAGCCTGGCGAATGGAAGGTAAGTCTTGTGTTTTCACTAAATTTGTTTACGTTGGCTTTTGAATACATTTCTGTCCTTTTTGTATATGGAGCAAACAAACCACAATTGTGTGATGATTCTTCAGGTTCTTGTGGTGGATCAGTTAAGCTCGAGGATCATATCATCATGCTGCAAGATGCACGACGTTGTGGAAGAAGGAATTACAAGTAAGCGTCGTGCAGTGGTCCAATATTGATCGGAATTATTCCAAAATCGTTCAATTAAGTATTTCAATTACTGATTTCCATAAGTTAGGGAGTTTTGCTCTGATAGGTACAGATATTCAGTGACGAATCTACAATAAGAAATATTCTGCTTCACTATTCGATGATGAAGAAAAAGCTTACTGGACGATTTAATTTCGTTTTCCAACATCAACGCCCCAGTATGAAATTGCTGCATGCATACACTTATAATGGGGTTGTTCTGAAATCTTACCCTCTTCAGTTTCCTAGACTACAAGTAGTCTCTTATTTATTATTATTTTTTTTTTCAAAGTTACTCCATGTGTTACCCATGCGCAAGAGCCACCATTAATTAAGACGTAAGCCCGAAGAGAAAAATAAAAGACTGCTGACTCTTTTGTTCTGTCTGGGGACAACAAAGTAATCTTAAAAACCAATTAAATGCAAGTAACTTGAGACGATTTATAAATAGAACATAATCAACTGAAAAATTACACTTTTTGTAAATCCGGTAAGGTTACCTTGACTTGCTTTCTGTTAAGGACCTTTACAGCAGTTTATTTCTGTTCCTGTTAAGGATGATATGTTACAAGTCAAAAATAAATTCAGTTTAAAATGTTTTAACCTACAATCTTGGACAAAAGTGTTAAGAATTTTACACTTTCTTATGCACGGGGGACACACCCGGTGAATTAAGCATTGTGGTGTCCCCTCCCCCCACCCCTCCCTGATCAGTGTTGTTAAGTCAGGAGGAGAGATGTTCCAGTCACCCCTCAACATTGTTTTTTTTGGGGGGGCGGGGCGGTGAGAGAAGTATCTTGAGTGTGCTGGACTTTGGAGGGAAGTAAATTCTAAAATTAAACATACGAGGTGCATTTTTCTTAACATTTTTGTCCAAGATTGTAGGTTGATTCTCAATGTCCTTTTTACTCCTAAGCCTAATTCATGAATAATCAGGGATAGGAGACAAAAGAATTTGAGAATTAACATAGGTTAAAAAATTTCAACCTGAATTTAATTTTGACCCGTAACATAGCCATGTACATTGTATATACATGTACAGTATTTTGTGTGGAGGCCCCCGCAAAATTCCTCCGTGTAGAGAAGTATTGTTTTTTCCACTGTATCGGTAATATGTAAAATCTTCTTGATATGAAGAAACTAGGCTCACAAGGTGATCCCGGTTAATTCTTCAGCATGTGCGCAAGGCAGTCTTGGGTAATTCTGGTTCAGCAAGCACGCTAGGTGCTATTGGGAAATTATGGAAACGCATTGTTGACCGGTCAGGTCAGCATTAGATTTCATCCTTCATAACCATCTTCCCCTCTTAGCTACACTTATATGAAATTTCTAAGTCCCTTCAAACTTGTACCATTCTAATCTTTTCTAAGTCTAAGTCCCTTCAATTATTTTTAGACAAAAAAGAAGGATATTTAATGTTACATTAGTGGAATTTGAACCCGTGGTTCTAGAACCAAAATCCATCGCCAATAGCACTACCCCACAGTGGATTTGAATGCAAGTTGTATTTTCATTTTACAATTTTATAGTGACAAACCTAACAGTAAATGAAAGCTAACCATTTCAAGTCAGTGCTTAGCCCTAATCACTATTGTCAGTGCTTAACCCTAATCACATTGTTCAGTGGTTAACCCTAATCACTATAACATTTTTTTTAATTTTTAAAATGTCATAACTTAAGAGCATAGAAATAAAGAGATTACATATTGAATGTTAGAAGACTTATTTTAAGATAAATGTCATATCTAAGGCAGGGGCAGATGTAGTGAGAAATATTACTAGTCTTATAACTTAATATGATTTCAAGTGGTCAAATATTGGTATCATAGATTATAATTGAAGTTCTCTAACTCCATTTTTTTTATTGTATAGTTGTGGAAGATATAACAAAAGTACGCCAGCCTTTACAAAACTTTGAAGCTATTTACCTTCTTACACCAGATGAAATGGTAGGTTAGCAAGATGGATGAATCCTGTAATGGCATTTGATCATATGGTTTGTTCATTGAAGTAGCTACTTTGAAGTTGCGGTTGAGTGAAAGAACTGGCGTGACTAATTAAAAATCCTGTGTAGCTTTTCCTATGGAACATGTACATGCTTTGTTCATTCCAAAAACTCTTGAGATAATTAACAAGTTGGATGGTTAGTTTCTTGTTAAAGCATTTAACAATAAAACTTAAACTGACTAACATTTGACATTTTGATGCTTCTAAGATATTAATCTAACATCATTGTAACATCACTGTCTAACACTAAAAGTGCAATCAGACTCAATTGTTATCCGGCCACGGTTAAGATTTTGTTAGACATAGGGCAATAATATTATTTTTTTAATAGTCAACTGTTATTTGCATCTCTGGTTGGACCACAAAAGATGTAAAACAAATATTTTTGTAGTAATAATAGTTGTTATAAATAATTGTATTTAAACAGTCAGTAAGAGCCTTGGTTGAAGATTTCACTGAGGGAAATCACAGATACAAAGCTGCTCATATATTTTTCACTGAAGGTACAGCTTCATTTGATTTTATACAGTAGAGGGTAATATAAGATGGTAGCCACAAGTAATCTGCCCCTCCCTTCTCAGATTACATTTATCTCACTGGTGCAATCAACACTGCTGTCTCTTTGGCTTGAAAACAAAATAATTTATGTTGTAGTTAATTTTTTGTCTCTGGTAATTTTTGATTTTCAGATATAATGTTGTTGTGGTCTATAAAATTTGATGTGCAGTCACATATAAAGTATTTGTAACAGAGTTTTTACTGGGTTTTCTTTACTATTATAGTTTGCCCGGATTCTCTGATAAGTGAAATGTCCAGGATCGCTAAATGTGAGTGCATTCTATGTCTTTTAATTTTGCAACATAGTCTACCATCAGAGAGAACATTTTGTGTTACTGCCGTTAAATGGGGCATATCTAGGAGGAAAAAAAAACATTCTTTGCCCTTTCACCCTCCATTCCCTTCGAAGGTGAGGTGTTTTTTGTTTCCTACAGGTATTTTGAATAGCAGTACAACATTGCTTAGAGTAGCCTGTAAAATCATTTTTCCTTTCTCCTTGTCGCTCAGGGCATTTTGCGTGGAGGAATGTTTGTGCCCCAGCGACAGAAATTACATACTGATGGCGTAAATCAATTTTTACAGCTGTGCATAAGAAATTTAGTAGCCATGGGGTTCCAAATGTTTATGTTTCCCTGATCGATTATGGTAAAGTATTGTGTTCCTCAGTGAAAAAGCTCCAGCTAAACTCAAATGTTTCTGCTAAAGAAGAATAGTTACAACTCATGAAAATTAACTGTTGTGTGGCAGATTCATTATGTTTGTGTTTGACCTTTTGACGGTTTATCTTTTGTCTGTCGTTCATAAACAATATAATAAAACAATATAACTCCAACGTCAACCAATAAGAGCTCATGGCCAGATTCCATACAGATTTTAATTCATCAGTATGGTGTTTCTGCTTCTTACGCATATATATCCCTCCTGGTAAAATGTCTCCAGCGGTGAGGAATGAAGAGAGACAGTTGTTTTTGCAGGCTATGCCTAGAGGGGGTAGGGGAGGGAAGGCTTATTTTTCCTGTTTGAAGTAGATACATGTTGTGTCAGTAAAACTTTAGAAAGGTCCTTTAGCTCATAGAGTCTCAACTATTTTTGTGGCCAATTGTAGATCATGTCAACAAATATAAATTTTAAAAGTGCAATGTTACTAAATTATTGTAGTAAAAACTAGGCTCAATTTCCAGTCATAATTTTGAAGAAGTGAGGTTTTACATCTTCCTCCCAATGAATGGCATAAAAATATTTGATGTCTTAATCATAGATGTGAAGACCCTGAAGGAGATAAACATTGCATTTTTACCATATGAATCTCAGGTATGCTATATTAAACCAGTTACTGAGTTCAATCAGATATATTACTATGAAGATTACTAGATAAATTGTACCAAACTAGTGGGTGTTTTGTGTTTTGCATAAAATCAATTTCAAAAAATTGGGGTGACTTTTTTGTGTTTTTGCTTTTATTGTTAATTATGGGATTGGTAAACCTGCAACTTTTAATAAATGACTGATTAAAATGCTTCACACAGGGTTCATACAGATCATGGAAAACGTGAAAAGTCATAGAATTTAAGAATTTCATTTTCCAGGCCTGGAAAGTCATGGAATTTATTTGACGTCCCTTGAAAGTCATGAAAATTAAAGTTTTTTTTGGTAGTTTAGTTACTACAGATGACAAAGCAAGGACAATGTACATATAAGATATCTATAGAAAGGAGTAATTAAACAGTGCAAACGGCATGCTTTTTTGGTGGACACCAGAGTTTGTGTCTGTTGAATTGTTTACTTAAGGTAAAAACATACCGCCAAGCAAGGGAAATTTTGAAAATTTTTGAAAGTGGCAACTAAACCTTAGGTCTTGGAAAACTTGAAAAGGTCATGGGAAAAGTCATGGAAAGTCATGTAGATTACCAGTATTCAAAACCTCGAGCGAGGCTGGCTAAGTGTAGATTTTTATTGCATATTCAATATCCAGTTGTATATCAAACAACACAGCAAAATGACAGTTCCAGATGAACTTTTATTTTCCGAATGTTTCATACAGAAACATGCTACTTTTGACACATAATCCAAAGGGCCTTGCTCTGGAAAAGCTCAGTTCATGGTAGTAGTAATAAGTATACAGCGGTGGTATGTAGTTGTACATGTAACAGCTACGTAATTTTTACAGAGTGTTTATGGTTTGTAGGTTTATTCTCTGGACACTCCTAAAGCATTTCATAGTTTCTATGGCCCAGAACCTTCAGATCAAGCACAGCGCTTTCAGTATTCTGAGGTATTTATTAATTACTTGATTCCTGAATGAGATTTTATTTTGAGTAGTTTATGTTCACCCTAGTTTTAAATGTGGCTAAATATCATGATTTAGGCAAATATAAACTTGAGTGAGTTGGCCAGCAGTCTTCTCCCACTCGACCCTCGGGGAATTGCAGGGCTCCTTGTGTGCGCTTTTGTTAGTGTTGCGTTGCATTGAAGCTTTGCTTGCTGATCGTAGTGGATCAATTTTTGTGTTTTTGTGAATCATTACGGATTCTTGCTCCCTCTCCTCCCTCCCTGCTGGGTGGTTTTGTAAGACTGTATTTTCTCAGGTAAGTATTCTCTTAGATAAGTATCTCCTTTGTATTTCATTCAGTGTTTTGGTGCTCCTTAGTGGTCACTCTTGGGGGCGGGGGGGCGGGGGGGTCCTGCTGCCAGGGTTGCCATGGATACCTCCTCTCTGTTTATTGCATTTGGCCTCCCACTAACCTTTAAGGCAGCTGCTCCCAAGCTCATCATTAGCGAGGAGGAAAACTCATATAGCCTGAGATTCTCAGGTTATGTGAGTTAAAACTGGGGTAAAATATAATATTTTCTGTCAAGTTTTGACTACTAACCTTGTTAATGTACATCATTAATATTGTGATCTGCATTATCATTTTCTTAACTGCTGATTGCTTTTAGATAGATACATTGTACCATGTAATATTAGTATTTTTGTTTTTGTTTTTATTTTATATTGTACATTGTACAGCTGTATATGCTGTAGTGGTTATTTATTTCCTGTTGTGTGTTTTTGCATGCTTTTAGAAGTATTTTTTCTTTACTTCAGAGTGATTCCAGGGGCATTCAGCTTAAGACATTATCAAATGTGAGTGCACTGGAATCACATGTAGAGGTAAGGAAAAAACAGGAGACAATCTTGCATTTTGAAATTGCTTAATATATGCTTACCAGTGCAAGTGATCATCTGTGCACCTGGCTGTAAGATTATAAGCCAAATGATTCAAGCCTTTATTTTAAATATTGCATGTTGAATTGAATTGATTAAGTCTTCATTTCTACACCAAACTTTGTTAGTGTTGTGAAGATCAAAAGTTATCCCAACTTCCTGTGGTCATAGATGGTTTAGTAGCTGGATATGGATAGCTTCTTTCATGCCTCTCTTTCTTCATCTTTGTGAACACTTTAATTCAATTTGCAATTTTTCTTGAAAGGTTTAAATCACTTGCATTATAATAATAAATTTGGATGGTGAAGATTCAGGTTCAGGCAGCCCCGCCCCCTCCTGTTCCTTGTCTGAACCAGGCTTACTGATGTAACACAATCAAATCATGGCAGAATCCTGTTTGCATCACTATTTTTTACATGAATTTGGGTCCTTTTAATTATTGCAGAAAATAGCTGAACAGATTGCCACATTATGTGCCACTCTGGGTGAATATCCTTCAGTCAGATACAGAAAGTAAGTTAAAATATTATTACACAAAGTAGGAATCTTTTTTGATTAGTGAATGTCCTGAATATGGGTGAGATTGATCACTGAACTTGGTAAATGTTGTACACTAGTTGTGTTTCTGTATAACTTGCATCTTTTAGCCTTTTCCCCTATAAGCCAAAAACCTTTAATTTGGAGTGGTGGAAGTATAGTTCTTTCAGTGTTTATTTGACTTTAAATGTTTCTGTATTTGTTGCCAGGGATGGTCTTCATCTTTCTGAATTAGCCAATGCTGTGCAATCAAAACTTCATGCATACAAAGCAGATGACCCAGCAGGCATGGGAGAGGTATAATAAATACAGTTCTTGATAGAAATTGTATGTAATATCATAAAAGTGCCTTTGGAACCGGTTAGAGGAGGGAGTGGTCGTTCTTGGAATAGACTACCTAAGCCATTATTATGGGGGCCACTTACATCACTGCAAACTGTCATCTCTTCTTCAAAGTTTTTGTTGTGGTTTGCATGGACAAATGAAAGGGAATTTTTCTGTGGAGTGGAAAACTATCATTATATTCAAACCAATTCACCTTTCCTTTACACACACTGTACCACAGTCTGAGAGAAAGAAGAACACAAATTACTTTCAAACTGTTTTATGTTGTTATGACCAATCACAGCAAAGATCAGGACACCCAAGCAAGTCACAAAACCACAAAAAATTGCTGTTTTTTTCCACACCTGATTGGCTTCTTCTTGCAGCAGGATTCCAGAATATATATCCCTGGTGTTCAGGGTTTTCTGAATTTCACAGAAAATTAGTTTGAAATTTTTTAATATCAAATAAAGATTGCAACCTTAACATTTTTGTTGTTGTTGTTTTCAAATTTGTGTCTTTTGTCTTTCAGGGGCCCCAAAAGCATCGGTCTCAGCTCATTTTACTAGACAGGTACATGTAACAGTGATAAGTATAATGTTATTTACAGTTTTTTTGGTGTTATTTTCTTTTTCTACTTCTTTATAGTTTAAAATACTGCTACAATAATTTGAAATGATTTTTTATTTATGTTAATTGTAGAGGATTTGACACAGTCTCTCCTTTGCTTCATGAACTCACCTTTCAGGTTTGTGATTTTAATTTCCACTCCAGCATGCAAAAATTACTTACAAAAATTATGCATATCTTAAGTGCGTGTAAGGAACCCTTTCAGTTTCATCATCTCCAGAGCTACGTATACAACCTTGGACAAAACTGTTGAGACTGTTTCATCCATTTTCTTTAACTTTGACACCATACTACCATTTCCTTTAAACAGAAAAGTTAAGCCCCCTCCCCACCCCCTATTCATTGTTGATTTAGTGTAAAAACCAACATGTATAATTCTTGTGTTATCCTAAACAACATTGGATTAGGTAGCCATAGGAGGGAAGATGGGCACTCATTCGGTGACAGATTCCATTTTTGTCAGGATGGCAGGAAAAAATAGTTATTTTTTGTCTTAACGATTTTATCCGAGGTTTTAGCCTTAGTTAATATAAAGTTTTGGTAACAATCTTTATTCTTAAGTAAGGGTTAGAGACTTACATGAGTGTTTTACCAGCAAATAAATTAATGGTCTGGCTGTAAAACTAACAAGAATTTCAAATACCTACTGCATGAGGTGTAGGAGCATGAAAAATTTTCAGTTTATTGTACGGCCAGTAAGTGCATTTATTTCCCAGAAGAAGTCTCTAACTCTTTTATTCAAAGTAAGCAGCAGATACAGAAAGTAAATTTAATGTCCCACAAGTGATGTCAATAATCATGCTCTTGCTTAGTTATGCTTTCAAAGAAATGATAGTACAAATTATCAGTAATATATGAAGCCAAATTTATCTTCCAGAATTTTGCGCTGAGCTCAAAAAATTTGAATTATATCATTTAATTTCTTTAATAAGCATCTTTAACATTAGTTGAGGTAAGGTGGGTTATAGAGACAATTTGTTATTGGATTCCTACCATAACATTCTATTATTTATTAATTTCCTGAATTATGTTTTCCTTTCCAGGCAATGACTTATGATCTTCTACACATTGTTAATGATGTGTACAAGTAAGTTTCTTTGACTCTTTAAATGTTACGAAGAGGTTCAGCTCAGTGAATAACTGCAAAGCCAATTGTGTCTTCCCCCACTTCAAAAGACAATTAATTCATTTAGTTTCCATAACTAACCCACTTCTCACTCCAATTTATTCTCCCACACAGCCATTTTTAGTGTTGTCATGCAACGCTCCTCTCCAGGAGCATTGGGTGGTGAAACAAAGAACAGCTGGAAAGGAGACTAACTCCTACCCCCTTAGTATTGATTTACATACATAGTCAGTACAGAGAGGAGGCAAGACATAGGGCCTTAAGTCAGGTTGACACTTTGAACCATTTAGATTAAAATGTCTCTTGCACTTATCCCTAGACCTCTTTACTTCTTTCACAACAAGTTCCTTATATATGTCTTATCTTTCTCTTGTAAGACATACTTGGTTATACACTGTAAGGTGAATCCAAACTTTTTAGCAGGAATTTTTTTCAGATTGACAAACTGAAAAAATGCCTCTAATCACCAGGAAGCTTTTGCTTTATGTTATCCAGCCTTTTACCAATATGAACATATAATACATGTCGTAATATTGTACAATGAAGCATTACTGTACTGTACAATCCACCCTTACGGAGAGACCTCTTTCATGTCATAGTTCAGTTTTATCCTCAGTTAAAATTTCTATTTTTTTTTTTTTTAATTACGGTATTCTACACGAACATACCATACCCCAAAACAAAGAAAAATAAAATTTAAATTGTGAATAAAAATTAATTGAACCACAACATATACAGCATAGTTTATTTGTCTAAATTCTACTAAGATCTTAACAGTTCTTTGATTTCATGGTTGTAGGTACATTTCATCATCTGGTAGTGAAGAAAAGGAAACCATCCTCGATGGTGAGATAAAACATGACTTTGTGATTTTTGTGTTCAGCAAGAAAAAGAAGCTGTTTAAGAACCTACAGCATACATCGTATTTCCTGGTGATAAGCTTGCGTGCAGACTTCTCCCACTTTCCTGGTGCTATCTTGGTTTTGCGAACGGGTGCAATCACCAAATGACATAAAACAAAAAATTGAAACGGCACTGAACAATGTCCGCACCACAAAATAGGAGCAAACTAACAGTAGTTTCCGTAGCACCAAGAAACAATCACTTTCCTTTGTTTCACGTGGGAATTGAAGTAAATTGTTGTACTAATGTCAAGCTTAATTTGGAATTTTTCACAGAGAATGATGAAATGTGGGTAAAGAATCGCCATGAGCACATAGCAGACGTTTTAAGGTATCTCTAACAATGTTTCTACAATTGCCCATGTACCTAAGCTGAGAAAATTTGGAACGCCACTAATGGTTTCCACGCGAAATGACGTCTGGGAAAATAAGAGCGCAGAAATTCCGTGCTGTTTACGTCACTACCCAGATCTGGGGAGTGCTTCTGAATGGTTGGAAATTTGCTCGTGCTCTTTGCTAAGAAGTCATTTCGTGGGTAAACCATTAGTGGCGTCGAAAAATGTCGGCTTTCTTCCAAGCAACCATGTACCATTTTGTCGCAAAATACATGTAATGTCATCCATCATGTCTTCAGCATGAATCTACTTTTACACGTAACTTCCACCCAATTATTTATGTTTCTACATTTCAGGAAAGTAAATTCAGAAATAAAAGAGTTTGCTGCAGACAAGAAAATTTCTACTTCTAATAAGGTAATTAAGCCAAAGAAAACTGCTTGTAAATGCAGTGGAACCTCCAGCCGTGACGGACGCCTCCCAGAAATGGATATCTCCCGTAACTGACCAGCAAATTTTAGTCCTGGAATTTTCACCACAAAACTTGCGCTTTTCCGCCACATTTATGCGAACACATCCGGACATGCAGAACCAGGGTCCGCAAAGGCTTAAATAACCAAACTAGGCCTCCAAAACCGATTACAAGAGTTAAATTAAGGTAGATTTCTACTGTCATGTATCTTTTTTACATACGGTCGCACTTAATTTCTCGTTAAACCTCGCTTAACTCTACGTTTACGCGCGATTTCTCATTCATTGCCCCTATTTTATTTTTAAAGCACCCAAAAATCACGCGACAGTGGAAATCCACCCTTGGACTACCGAAAGAGACAAAAGATCAATGTTCGGTTTTTCTTTTTGCCGGACGCAAGGGACGTCAACGTCCTCGTTGTTTAAAGGGGTTATGTCACGCTATTTGCTGTTTTTTTTTTTGAAAAAGCTGAAACTTTTTTCGCATCAGTTGTATTCCAAAAATAATGGTCCAGTTTTGTTATTTAATACTATATCTAGGCATTGAAACTGTTTCCTGCCGTCTGTGTGAACGGATGGCAAGGATGGACATGGATTGAAACTTGAACAAGTTGGGCCAACTTTTTTAAGTTTTAATGCTATGCCTACTAAAATCACCAAAACAATTCTAAGGGCTTAGAGCTAGGTGATTGAAAAATGCTTGATATCTTCTCCATAACTCTACAGGGGGATTTTGTGTATGGGCAAAGCCGCTAGGTAATGTCTTCCGAGCAGAATTGACCTAAAACAGCAATGTCGTCGTAGCATAGCCCCTTTAAGCTGTCCAATAGAGAGGTAAGCATCACGTTTACAGCAGACGGCAAACGCTTATTTAAACCACGTGACCAAGTTTCCCCTTTACTTGTCGTTTGCTGTTCACTATTTCTACACATAAATTAGTAGTTTCAAGCAATTTTTTCCCATAAGAATTGTTTTGAGCTGTTTTTACCTGCTCATTTTTTATTTTGGGAAATTCTCAACTTGAATCTGACGTTTGCCGTACACGTGAAGCTTAAACTCTCTAATGTTTAGAATGTAAGAGGTGGCCAAATTTAAACTGGCTTAGAACGTGGCCTTTTGTTAAACTCCTGTTTTAATAACCAATCCTACATTTCGTGTTTAAACCTGTGTTATTACTTGCTGATGTAGACAACAATGAGGGATCTGCAAGTTATCCTCAAGAAGATGCCTCAATATCAAAAGGAAGTCAGCAAGGTAATTGTCCTTGTTAGCATAGCACTGGAATTTAAATCCTAGACAAACAGGAACACAGCTCAAAGGAAGATTTCATTACAAAATATACTTATATACTTGAGTTGAGTAGCCTCTCAGGGACAAACTAGTCTATTATATCTATCTGCAGTCTATTTTTGAAGAAAAAAGAAAAAAAAGGATGTGACATGAATTGTAAACCACTTCTCAATCTTGTGAAAGCCCTGGCCATTGAAGGAAATCGCAAAAAACAGCACCACAATCGCGTAGCTCCCTATAGCAACCATTGTTTTCATAATCTATTCTTGGACTTGACTGGTGCTAGTTAGCTGTCCTGGGTGAATAGATCTATGCCGTTAACCCTGAAAGAAAGACCAATGTTATTCTTTTCTCTTGTCTTTCAGTTCATCGTTCAACTTCATCTCGCGGAAGACTGTATGAAGCAGTATAATCAAACTGCTCTGAAGGATCTATGTGCTGTGGAGCAGGTAAGTGTCTCATTTGATAATGTAAGTAATTATATGGAAATTTCATAATGTGAATGTGGTAACTAACCTTTCAGCGGCAACCAACAGGTATCGCACACTGAGAACCTCAGTTTAAAGTCCAGTAGGTACTTGTCAAGACACATCCGGAGGGAGGGGAGGGCTGGGAGCAAAACCGCTTAAACGACTTCACGGGAAAGGTAACTTTTATAGCAAAATGACTGACCTCAGCGAGAGCCGGTAAAATTATTGAGGACCTGTAAATGGCCAAAGACCACCCCACATACGATTAGTGAAGGAGACCGCCGACTAACATTTTGTCGTGTTTAACCTCGCCTAAATTACATTAAGCCACATTTTAAGGTGATTCGTAATTCTTCGTGCTGGACTTGGCTACGCTACATTTTACAGACAGCGTGTTCGTGTATTTGCCGGAAAAGTCTAACCCTAAATTCTTGTAGGATCTTGCTACTGGTGTGGATAAAGCTGGCGAGAGCATGAAAGACCCCATGAAGAGTATTGTGCCACTACTGTTGAATTCAGACATTCAGTGAGTACTACCGGTGTATACTCTCTCTTGGTTCCTTTTACGTTAAGGGTTTCATTATATATCACATATGAACTACTGGATTCGAGACCACACTTAAATTTCCTTTTGCGCAGATTATGGTTTTGCGAATGTTAAATCTACTAAATTCTAAGTTCCAATACTGTATATGATTTCCCAATTTTGGACAATTTGTTTAACAGGAAATTTATTTTTTCTGAGGAGACAGTTATGCTAAAGACCTCTTTCATAATTGCGGGCTATTGATATATTCTTTTATATGTATGATAATGAGCCTTCTGACCTCGTTAGCATGTGCCAAATACAAAAAAACTCTTTCTTTCAAACGAGGTCAGAAAGGTGTTAATTGTCATACATAAAAAAAGAATATATTCGTAGGTCGCCATTATGAAAATGGTCCGTGTTCACGCCCTACAGGATAGCTTTTGCGTCGGCGTGAAAACTCTACCGTATAGGACTTCTGTTAACACCCAAGAATGTTGATTTCCACGTGGTTTCTGTTACGGAGCAAAGCTGCTTCACTCCGATCTCAAAAGTGGAGCGTCACATATCGGATAGGTTCTGTTCCATACTTTGGTGCAGTGTAAACACCTATTCGGACCGTAGCGGAAGTGAATAAGTAGGAACGAAGACTGGAACCCACTAAGACAGAAGTAAATATTCAGGAGTGAGGACTGGGATTTAGTTCACTAAACCCGGCTCTCGGCCAACCCCGCCGTCACGATGTTCGATGTGTGTGAACGACTTGTTCCGGTCCCGGGCCGTTGCTGTTCACATCATACCGATATAGTGTGATGATAGCGGCTTTAATCGGGCTTAAATGAGTGACCTTTGTTATGTCAACCCTATCTGTCTGTATTATTACATTACTAGTTTGATTGGTATTTTATCTCTCTTGCAGTATTTTAGACAAGATAAGGATCATTCTATTGTACATTATTTTCAAAAATGGTAGGTTTGTAATAAAAGACGCATTCACGTCACGTTCCTGGAAACGTTTGTTGTTATTGTTTATGTTTATAGTAAAAACCTTTTTACAAAGTAATTATCTTAACTGTATATTTACTGTAAAGAAGGTATTAAAGTTAAAATGTTTCCTGTTTCGTAGGTATCAGTGAAGAAAATCTGGCCAAGCTATGTGAACATGCACAGATCCCTTCAGATTATCGGTTGGTCAAAAAGCTTTATCTTTTGTTAACATTTAGCTAAACGTGAGGGAAGTTTATAAAATGTTGCTAAATATGTAGGTAAAAAGTATTCTTTTCTTTCCAGAGCTATAATAAAAAACATGGCTTATCTTGGAGTTCCCATCCTACAGGATGTGAGTATTACGTTTTATCATTACTCAGGCATCGCGCGTGGCAGGCGGTTTGTTTTGGTGTGTTTTTCGTTTGTGTTTCGTAAAGTAAGAGGACAAACGAGAAAACGATGGCGGGTGGGGGAGAGAAAGAAGGCCTTTCTCTCGCCCCTTCCCCTCCCCCCCCTATCGTTTTCTCTCAGTTTGACGTCGGTTCAGATTTCGCGTGGCTGGTACCCGTACTTATCGAAACACAAACGAAAAACATTCGCCCCAAAAAGCCTTCTTCGCAGGCTATAATTTAGAGCAATCTTCACTTCCTGTGCAGGCGTTATCCTTTGCTAAGCACGTCTAAAATCAAGGGTTCAACCCTTGACGGTACGGAATACTGAAAGTTAAATAATTCCCTGCAAGAGGTTTTATTTGAAATTAATGACCAGAGCAAAGGATTGCAATCACCAACTCAAAACTTGTACGTCTAAAGGCTAGTTTTCTCGCTAATAATTGAGAAGTAAAAATTCCAAGAAATAATTCCGAAATTTCTTTTCATAGCATTCGTCATTTGCACATCTCCCATAATACACCTTCTTTGCCCCCCAAAATTTTGCATAACCTTTATTTCTCATGGGCAGCCGTCCCAAGGGAAATTGAAAACAATGCAAATGCAAAAATTTGGGGGGGAAGCAAGGTGCATTTTGGGAGATGTGCAAGTAGAGAATCTTTACTTTTAACTAGTATTATGCCAAAATTCTGCCAAAGACGTTTCATTTGAATTGGATAGGCCATCCACAGGTGTCAAAGTTAGAATGTCAAATTGTCTTGCCACATCTTGGTCTAATAGCGAAAGGATCAGTTTTGTCCTCAAGTTGACCACTGCTCCAATTGAAATAAAGGACCCTATTTTTTCAATTAAAGGTCTCCAACGTCAGTTTGATTTAAACTTGGCTTGCTGGACCAGGCAAATTTTTCTTTTTATAAGGAAGTGATTTTGTTCCCTTTTATTAGCTTTCGTGTATTTTCCCTTTAAACCTGGCCCCGGCTGCTCAAACGTTGGATAGCGCTATCCACCGGATAACACCGCAATTGTTTCCCGTAATACGTATCCGGTGGATAGCCCTATCCAGCTTTTGAGCAACCTGGGCCTGACGTTTACACCTGCAAATGAATGTCTGAAGGGCTTCTTTTCAGCTTCCTAGTTTATACCCGGTGTTTCGTTATCATCCCGGCCAGAAAATCGAGAAAATACGGTATACTCGATAGGTCTTGTCCGCCTGCTTCTTAGAATTTTAATAGTTGTTATATGATCTCTCCTGGTAAGTCTGGTGCTAGAAAGGGACCGAAGCTGGCCAGGAAGGAACGTACTTCACTGTACGAGTTGTCAAGATGGGTACCAGTGGTGAAGGACATTATGGAGGTCTGTGCAGCTACAATCTCACAATAATAGTTCGAACTTCTCCTAGTTGGTTTTCTGCCTCTGCACCTTCTAACAGGGTTAAAAATCGTTTGAGCTTCGCGGAAGCGTGTTCTTGAAAAACACTTTGAGAGGGCGAGGAGTTTAAGTAAAAAAATGGATTATAAATAGGGCTCTGGATTATCGAGTGGGCTTTTGAGCGAGGAAAAATATGTGAGGGCTGGGATGGATGACTGCTCTCTACACTCTTTGTAGTTTCGTTGAGCTTACTGCGCGTTTGGCAATATGGAGGATGTGCCAGCAGTGTATGTAAAGAAAATAATAATAAAAAAATGCCATGTAAAGGTATTGAGACGATTTAACAGAACCGCCCGAAAGGATATCATAGCAGGTTCACTAATTGACGTTTTCTGGTCGAAGTCTTCCTATGTTGTTCTCAAGGCTCTCTGGAAATGAAAATGTAATAGAGGAAAGCTTTACAAGTTACAAGGCATCCATAGTCTGGTCATCTATGATTACGTGATAAGATTATCAACACTTTGTCACACTAAGTTGATCCTTTATCCCTAAACGGTGACTGAACTCTTATTGTTCAATTTTTATAAATACAGAAACAGGGGTGTAGCCAGCTTTTCGACTAGTTGCATGCCTGGCTGACATATCTTGAAAATTGCACGCATGATTAGTACGCGCTTACCTCATCAACACTTTGAGCTCTTAAGCTTTTTAGCTCACCAAATTAACGCATAATTTATTACAAACGGTAGTGATCAAACCCAAAATTTGTAGGCCCGGGCCTACAGGTCTATGGGCTAGGTACGCCCCTGCAAAAATGTTTGTGGTTGATGAGATGAAAGCTCTCCACGTTTTGCCTGCCTACGTAAACTAAATTAGTTGATTTACTTCCTTATCTTAGGAAGCCGTCGATGAAAAGCTGAGTAGCAGTCTTTACCCGTTTGCGTCCGATCAGCGATCTGGAAGCAATGCATTAAGCAGCAAAGGTACGGGACAGGACTCTATTTAAATCTGAAAGGTTAAAATTTGAGGACTGGTTTTCATTTCTCTCACTAACGTAGACGATGTGGACCTGACAAGTGCGGATCGAAGCGCGAATAACCGCACAATACCTATTATACATATATTTCGACCGAAGTTTGTGAAATATTATTGACTTCCTCGTTTTGTTTTTCTTTCCTCTATTAACCAGGGCAAGCTGTTAGGTAAGTTTTATCACCCTAAGTTTTCAGGCCTTGTAAATCTTGATTTGTGCTTTTGCCTGTGTTGTTGTTTGTTTGTTTCCTTTATCAAAACTTTTCATTTCAACAGCGCACGTTATGGCCATTGGCACAAGGAGAAGGTAGGTATTTCTTTTTCATTTTTAAAATTTTTTAGCATCAGGTTAATGTTTTTAATTGCGACAGTTGCAGTATTGAAAACGGCATTTACCAAATTTTGTTGCATTTGTCCTGGTGAAGTATACAGATGCTTGGTTTGTGGAGAACGTGATTACCAGACTTTTCATTTTCCTGATATTCTACGCATTGAACCCTTATAAAATGTTGCTAAATATGTAGGTAAAAAGTATTCTTTTCTTTCCAGAGCTATAATAAAAAACATGGCTTATCTTGGAGTTCCCATCCTACAGGATGTGAGTATTACGTTTTATCATTACTCAGGCATCGTGCGTGGCAGGCGTTTTGTTTTGGTGTGTTTTTCGTTTGTGTTTCGTAAAGTAAGAGGAAAAACGAGAAAACGATGGCGGGTCGGAGAGAAAGAAGGCCTTTCTCTCGCCCCTCCCCCCCCTATCGTTTTCTCTCAGTTTGACGTCGGTTCAGATTTCGCGTGGCTGGTACCCGTACTTATCGAAACACAAACGAAAAACATTCGCCCCAAAAAGCCTTCTTCGCAGGCTATAATTTAGAGCAATCTTCACTTCCTGTGCAGGCGTTATCCTTTGCTAAGCACGTCTAAAATCAAGGGTTCAACCCTTGACGGTACGGAATACTGAAAGTTAAATAATTCCCTGCAAGAGGTTTTATTTGAAATTAATGACCAGAGCAAAGGATTGCAATCACCAACTCAAAACTTGTACGTCTAAAGGCTAGTTTTCTCGCTAATAATTGAGAAGTAAAAATTCCAAGAAATAATTCCGAAATTTCTTTTCATAGCATTCGTCATTTGCACATCTCCCATAATACACCTTCTTTGCCCCCCAAAATTTTGCATAACCTTTATTTCTCATGGGCAGCCGTCCCAAGGGAAATTGAAAACAATGCAAATGCAAAAATTTGGGGGGGAAGCAAGGTGCATTTTGGGAGATGTGCAAGTAGAGAATCTTTACTTTTAACTAGTATTATGCCAAAATTCTGCCAAAGACGTTTCATTTGAATTGGATAGGCCATCCACAGGTGTCAAAGTTAGAATGTCAAATTGTCTTGCCACATCTTGGTCTAATAGCGAAAGGATCAGTTTTGTCCTCAAGTTGACCACTGCTCCAATTGAAATAAAGGACCCTATTTTTTCAATTAAAGGTCTCCAACGTCAGTTTGATTTAAACTTGGCTTGCTGGACCAGGCAAATTTTTCTTTTTATAAGGAAGTGATTTTGTTCCCTTTTATTAGCTTTCGTGTATTTTCCCTTTAAACCTGGCCCCGGCTGCTCAAACGTTGGATAGCGCTATCCACCGGATAACACCGCAATTGTTTCCCGTAATACGTATCCGGTGGATAGCCCTATCCAGCTTTTGAGCAACCTGGGCCTGACGTTTACACCTGCAAATGAATGTCTGAAGGGCTTCTTTTCAGCTTCCTAGTTTATACCCGGTGTTTCGTTATCATCCCGGCCAGAAAATCGAGAAAATACGGTATACTCGATAGGTCTTGTCCGCCTGCTTCTTAGAATTTTAATAGTTGTTATATGATCTCTCCTGGTAAGTCTGGTGCTAGAAAGGGACCGAAGCTGGCCAGGAAGGAACGTACTTCACTGTACGAGTTGTCAAGATGGGTACCAGTGGTGAAGGACATTATGGAGGTCTGTGCAGCTACAATCTCACAATAATAGTTCGAACTTCTCCTAGTTGGTTTTCTGCCTCTGCACCTTCTAACAGGGTTAAAAATCGTTTGAGCTTCGCGGAAGCGTGTTCTTGAAAAACACTTTGAGAGGGCGAGGAGTTTAAGTAAAAAAATGGATTATAAATAGGGCTCTGGATTATCGAGTGGGCTTTTGAGCGAGGAAAAATATGTGAGGGCTGGGATGGATGACTGCTCTCTACACTCTTTGTAGTTTCGTTGAGCTTACTGCGCGTTTGGCAATATGGAGGATGTGCCAGCAGTGTATGTAAAGAAAATAATAATAAAAAAATGCCATGTAAAGGTATTGAGACGATTTAACAGAACCGCCCGAAAGGATATCATAGCAGGTTCACTAATTGACGTTTTCTGGTCGAAGTCTTCCTATGTTGTTCTCAAGGCTCTCTGGAAATGAAAATGTAATAGAGGAAAGCTTTACAAGTTACAAGGCATCCATAGTCTGGTCATCTATGATTACGTGATAAGATTATCAACACTTTGTCACACTAAGTTGATCCTTTATCCCTAAACGGTGACTGAACTCTTATTGTTCAATTTTTATAAATACAGAAACAGGGGTGTAGCCAGCTTTTCGACTAGTTGCATGCCTGGCTGACATATCTTGAAAATTGCACGCATGATTAGTACGCGCTTACCTCATCAACACTTTGAGCTCTTAAGCTTTTTAGCTCACCAAATTAACGCATAATTTATTACAAACGGTAGTGATCAAACCCAAAATTTGTAGGCCCGGGCCTACAGGTCTATGGGCTAGGTACGCCCCTGCAAAAATGTTTGTGGTTGATGAGATGAAAGCTCTCCACGTTTTGCCTGCCTACGTAAACTAAATTAGTTGATTTACTTCCTTATCTTAGGAAGCCGTCGATGAAAAGCTGAGTAGCAGTCTTTACCCGTTTGCGTCCGATCAGCGATCTGGAAGCAATGCATTAAGCAGCAAAGGTACGGGACAGGACTCTATTTAAATCTGAAAGGTTAAAATTTGAGGACTGGTTTTCATTTCTCTCACTAACGTAGACGATGTGGACCTGACAAGTGCGGATCGAAGCGCGAATAACCGCACAATACCTATTATACATATATTTCGACCGAAGTTTGTGAAATATTATTGACTTCCTCGTTTTGTTTTTCTTTCCTCTATTAACCAGGGCAAGCTGTTAGGTAAGTTTTATCACCCTAAGTTTTCAGGCCTTGTAAATCTTGATTTGTGCTTTTGCCTGTGTTGTTGTTTGTTTGTTTCCTTTATCAAAACTTTTCATTTCAACAGCGCACGTTATGGCCATTGGCACAAGGAGAAGGTAGGTATTTCTTTTTCATTTTTAAAATTTTTTAGCATCAGGTTAATGTTTTTAATTACGACAGTTGCAGTATTGAAAACGGCATTTACCAAATTTTGTTGCATTTGTCCTGGTGAAGTATACAGATGCTTGGTTTGTGGAGAACGTGATTACCAGACTTTTCATTTTCCTGATATTCTACGCATTGAACCCTTTACCTACAAATCTATTCCAAATCTATTCTATTACACATACAGTAAATTAAACAAACATAGGTAGTTTTAAGGAGGGAAGAATTCAATTTTTTTTCAGCTATTTTCTCCTGGCATTAAAGATTTTTAAGGGGTCGACTATTTGACTTTTGACGGAGATATAGGTGATTTGGTTTGGGTAAGAATGTTTTATCTTTTCCAAACCTCTAGAGATATACCGTAATTGTTTCCCCGACATATAACGGTGCAAGAGTTTTTTTTCAGTGCAGGATATTCCCCCCCGCCCCGCCGCAAATTTTTCCTTGTTAGATTTTCCCCTCAAAATCAGTCTGCAGGATTTTTTTTTCTGAAATCACCCTTACCCTCCCTCCCTCCTTCCCTATCTTGCCTTGTACCAGAATAAAATTCCATAAATCTTTCTAGTCCCTGTCGACCGGTGCTGTTAACGTGACATTACCTCGTTTTGATCCCTGTTTAGGGCTCCACGGAGGCTCGAGCAGGTCCCCGGCTTATCATCTTTATTGTTGGTGGAGTTTGCTACTCTGAAACAAGAACAGCGTACGAGGTAATGTAGCACAAAGGGTTATCTCGTTGAATGATTGAAGTGTGGACGCGCAAAAAGGCGGGAAACGCAAACACAAAAAACTGGCGGGAAAATGGCGTGACACCCATACTCTGCCATGAACGCACAAACATGCACGGCCGATATTTCTCACTCATGAGAAACATTGTACGCGGACTTAAAAAATGGCCACAACTTTATATTTCCGTGAGAAAATTTACGACATGATTCTTTAATTAGAATGTGACAGTATATGATAGGGACCGGTAGCTTGAACTATGAGTATGAAGTCAGTTACCCTTCCACGTACGAGGTTTCAAACCACATTCTCATCACTCCAATCTTATTTGCTGATCAGTAGCAAGAACAATTAATTTACAGATCGCTCAAAATTCGATTTCATATTCGTAGTTAATTTTTAAGGTCACTATTATTTTTGAACTATTATTTGACCATACACAGTTCACTTTGACTCCTCTATTGACTTCCATATTGCCAAACACCAGTCACTGTCATCAACAGTTCTGCGCTTACTTGGACGATTATTCCCACCTTCTCATGCATGTTTCGTTCATTTTCAACGTTGAAAGAGTGTAGAAAAATTGATGTGTCATGTTTTTTTTTGTTTTTGCTTTGTTTTTTGTTATCGTTAGGTAACTGCTGCCAAAAAAGACTGGGAAGTGCTGATTGGTAAGTTTTTACTTCATGAAAACACCTGTCAATATCCTCTGAACCTTCACTACAATTATTCCTCGCTCTGAGTCAATAGCCCATGAGGTCAAAGGCTGAATGGACTATTGACTCAGAGGCCATGAGGGCGAGAGGAATAATTGTTTTAGTAAAATCCACTAGTTGGTCAAAAATATGGAGACAAAACAACTTAAAGCAAGACTTTAATCCTTTTTTGCCGCCAAGAATCCGGCGTTTTCGTTACTAGTGGACATATAGCCTGGTAATAGCTCAATCAATTGGAACGCAGTATTGGTAATAGACCACTAGTTGGATTTTACTAAATACATATACATAAAGACTTTCAATTATTACAAAAATGTTAGTTAAATATTAAAGAGACGTAAATTGCAAGTAAAAGAATTAAAAGTTTTTTTTTTCTGGCAAGGAAGCTGAAATTGAAACATTGGGCTTATTATATGAGCTCCCTCTCTAAGTAAAGACTAAATATAATGAATAAATAATAAGCAGCGAAATCGTACTGAAATATGATTAAGATAAAAGGCAAGCAAAACAAAACAGGCAAAACGCAGCAAAAAACAAGTATTATGACAAGTGGTGGATCAGCTAAGTAGAAATATTTTCAATCTGGATTTAAAAAGAGACTGAGATAGTAGCAACACTTTGTATATTGTTATTTAGTAAATTGAAAAATTTAGGACCCTGAAATCTAATACCAAAAAGTCATATTTGTTCGTGTAGGAAATAAGTAGAAAGAATTTGAATTTCCGGTAATATAGGAATGAACTTGATTTGTTATTAAAAACATTTCTTTGAATACATTCGGAATCAGGCCTTTATCTAGTGTCATATTTATTTGCCTCTTGCAGGTTCTACGAGTATCATTACTCCTAACTTGTTCTTGGCTTCATTAAGAGAGCTTGCAGGTTGAACCGTGGTGCTGGTTGGTAAGCTGAGAGATTCATGACTTCATTCATTTATAAATAGACCATTTCCGAGTTACCCTAAGTCTCTGCTGCAAAGCGAGGCTTAGTGCGAAGCTATTCATATGAAAATGATTTTTAATTCTCAGGCAAATATAGCTTTTCACAAGAAAGGTTTTGCACTAAGCCTCGTTTTCAAGGCGAGAATTATAGGAGTTCAGTGACTTAGTGGCCTATTATTCATAACTGTCATTCATTCAAAATATTACTCCGTTTCTGATTGGCTCAAATCTCCCCGCTAATTCTTCATAACCATCTTGTGTTGACCATATTTGGAGTACCCTTGCGATATCCGGTAAAATGACATCAAAGGTGCTGGATAACTATAGAAAAAAGCACGGCAACAGAGAAGCCCTGGGGCTCAGGTCCCAACGAGGTGAAGGGGGGTGGGGGAGCAGTAATTATATAGAAAGCGGGAAGGTCGATAGGTGCGAATTTAAATTTCCAAGTGAGCGAATGGACTGGAGAAAATGTTTTGCTTGTTAAATGCGTAATATTTGGCAGTGGAGACACACCAGGCAACGTTATGTGTAAAGTTATTTTAAGATCATATTAATCGTAATTATTTTACAATATGTTGAAGGAAAATCGTTTGCTTAAAAATTATCTTACAGGTACAAGAGGATGATAAATAACGCAGAAGCAATAATTGTACAAAATCAAGAACAAAGTTGAAGAGCTGGCTGGTTGTTGAACTGTGCTCAGTCAAATAATATTAAGAATGCTAAAAAAAGGTTACTCGGTAACGGTGGGGCCCAAGAAATGATCCCCGGGGGTATATAAAAAAACTCTTCAGTGATTTGGGCGCTATGTGTTGTCCCGCTGTTAAGAGTTTTGCCTATTTTGGTGCCAAAGGTGCAAATTTCGTTTTGTCCTTTTTTAAAATCAAGCCAGGTTATGGGCCTCATTCCTAGTCCAGCTGAAAGGTATTTTGAGAATTGGACTGAGTTGTTCGAGGAAGCCTTACTAAGCCTTTGAGAAGTTTTAATTTTTTAGAAGTTAAAATTCATATCTTTAAGTTAACAAAGCAGCAGTCTGTACCTCTCAAAGTGAGTTTCAAATGAGAAGTGAACAGAAACCTTCATTAACCCTCCAAAAAATGCCCAAACGCGTGAATTTGTTCTGTACGATATCGCCAGTTAATAAATACCATGCAGAAGTATTGCTAAAGAAGCTTCATGTAAATGATAACACCATAGAATATTGTTTTCAGAGGCCTTAAATGTTAGACCTACTATAGGTATGTACAGCCTGATAAATATTACGTTATGAAAGTAGTACTGCTGATTAGATTTCATTTGAATGCAAACAATGAAAAGAGCAATACTTCGTCACACACGGCCTGACTTCTTCAGGGAATCAAAGAATAAATGATTTGCTCCAAATAGCTGACTTTGGAAAAGAGTGTTGGACTTTGTCGATAGTACCCGCGCAAGCACTTGTGGGATTGTCTATATAACAAATATATCACAAAGGTATACTTTAGACACGAGAAGGGAACTGGATCGGAATTTTTTTCTTTTTTCAAACACTTTTTTTTTCAATACCTTTAGTAGCAGTCCCACGAGTCTTTTGCGAAAGTTAACTCGACCCAGTTTCCTTGCCGTTTCTAAAGTGGCCAATAGTCCGTATATTGGAATTCTAACATGACTCCGAGGCTTTCTGGTCATTTTTCTATATTTGGTTTGGGTTTCTTTGTGCTCAAGTCGACAATGGAGTCGTGAAAACTTGCAATTTTGACCCTAAAGCCTCGGAGTCATGTTAGAATTTAAAATATATCGAACATAGGCTCTCGCTTCTGGTTATCGAGACAATTCTTTCAAAAAAAAAGCCGATATTCTATCTTTTAACAGGAGCCGATTAATTCTTTTAATTAAAAACAACATCTAAAGGATTACGAGCACACGGTTCAAGCCAAAATACTACTATGCAGTTCAAAGTCCTTGCGCCCCTAAACAATCTTCTAAAAGTTTGTGTATCATCTCCAGATTGCAGCTAGGCTATCAATCACTTGTTTTCAAGGTGAGCTATGGCCTCTCCGCCTTATTTGGTGAAAAGGGTACTAGCGACACTCATGTGCAACAGGCTTAACATCTTTGTTCACATAGGGGAGTTACATCTATCTTCAGCTTAAAATGAATATGCGATTCAAGTAAAATTGCCTCCGCTGATGCTTAACTTGGTTTTACAAATGTATTAGATTTTGTGATATAAGATATTTATTCTTGCGGAATAAAATAATGTTGTCTCCATGCACGCGAGTTTTTTATTTCAAGGTAGTCTCCTTCGCAGACCGTAGTCACGCAATCCTCCCGCCCCCATGGGCCACGCGTGAGAGCGGGAAACATTGCGTGACTCTGGCCATAGCGGCTGCGAAGCACATTGTTACCGGGGATGAGATGTTACAGATGTTATTTGGTTTCAGTCATGAAATTGTCTAGATTGTCTCTACTGCCTCCAGGTTTTGGATGATTCGGACTGTCCATACAATTGGGGCGATGATTTACAAACAACCAAGAAAGGGAAGTCCAAAGACTACTGCAAAGCTGATTTTAAACGTGTCCTCGTTCCTCGTTCTTTGCTCCTAAACCGCACGGAAACGCTTGCTACGCAGGCTACGAATTATTGTAATCCATATCCTTAGTATTTTTCCTTTCCAATTTTTATGTTGTACGTGATTTCCGCCTCTCCTTTTTATTGCGACATTCTCCATCTATATAATATTGTGATTGCTACATAAGTTCAGTAACATCTGTAAACCTGAAGAAGGCTGGTATGGCCAGCCCCGGGGGCCAGCCGAAATATTGTTATAAAAAACAATACACGTTGTTTTAAATCAGCTTTGCAGTCGTCTTTGGACTTCTCGTTCTTGGTTCTTTATATTTTGGCTGATTTGATCTCTTTCTCGAGATCCAACGTTTACAACTAGCAGGATCTTCGTCCACGGTTTTTGCAGTTAATTTAATCGTTTATAAACAACCTACTATGCCGTAAACTCTGTGCCGCAGGGCCTATTTGAGCTTATATCCGAGGGGGCTTACAACTAGAATAGAATAAAGTCCCAATCAAATCGTCATAATAAATCATTTAGACGGGGTCTTATGTGAGAGAGGGCTTTTAATCGGATGTTTTTTTTTCGTTTACTGGTAGATGGGCCTATAACTGGGAGAAATTTTAATCGGCAGATTACGGTATCAAGGGAAGATAAAGCCTTTATCATCTCTTTACCGTACACAGACGTCAGTTCCACTAGTTGATCTACATCACCCCAAGCCCGTTAGCCTGCCTATCATGCGCTTGGAAGTAATGGCGCAACCCATTTTTCCTGCGCCCATTACTTCCAAGCGGCTGCTACGCGGGCGACAAGCCCATATCAAGTCAAGTCAAACTATATTTAGGCAGGGTGGGTGGATGTTGCAAGCCAACAGGCACATTAACGCGTACAAGTTCTCTTTCTTCAGGGGCACCCAACGACTTTTTTCTGTAAAATATCTGTTCGGAGAAACAAATATTGCCTAGAATTTTCTGTTACTTTAGGACGGCATTCACGTACAGTTTTCGAAGCTTATCTTATATATTCCCTACGATTTTCTGAAGTTTAAGTTTCACATTTTACATTCCAAGTTAGGCTATTTTTCGTAGGAAAAAGGGAACCTAAAGTTTCGGATTCAAAAAAATTAATATGGTGACGTTAAGAATCAGAAAATGTCTTACGTTCGTGATAGATCAGTAATGATTTCATCTAAAATTTACAGAAAAATAATACTCAAGCCCTTGTAATTTCGAAAAGACTCAAGTTCCCTACGATGACCGAATTAGGAACAGATACCAATTCTATAGCGCCGCTTAGAATGCATTTTTAGATATCTAAAAGTACTCTAACTTTAACTTTAACTTTATTTTGATTTACCACAAAATACAAATAACGATAAAACAAGACAGTTACACAAAAGCAAATGAAAGTGGCGAGGAAGCCCAAACAGAAACCATGAGGCTTATAGACATTGGGCTCCCTCAGAGTAAAAATAAAGTTAACAGTAACGGTAAGGCCAGGATCGAAAGCAAAATACAATGAAGGTAAATATAAATTAACTAATTACATAGACTGAGTTGACAAAATATAAGGTATGGTACAAGTAACAATAAGTATAAAAATAATATCAGACATGGAAGAAATATAACTATTTACTACAAGATTTATAACTAATAATTCATATATAATATTTTTTTCAATTTCGTTTTGAATAAGTGGAGAGAATTAGATTCTTTAATATCATTTTCTATAGTGTTATAATAAGTAGGTCCTTGGAAACTGACAGAAAATTTACGAAGGTTTGTTCTACGAGAAGGAAGGTGAAAATCGTTCGCGTGTCTAGTGGCATAGCTATGGACTTGTTTCTTTAAAGAAAAATAATTGTTGAACTTTGAAGGCAAACTCTGGATAACTTGAAAAGTGTTTTCAATGTGTTTAGGAGGAAACCATCGTTGGGTGCCCCTCAGTTTCTTTGTTAGAACTGTCCCCGGTTTCGAATGCCCAACCCCCGGCGTCTGTATACGCTGTTAATGTTAATGCCTTTCACTCAAGTATTTCAAGTTATCGTGAGTTCGTAGCAAATAACCGGAAATAAGGAAATAAGCAAAGGAATGGGAACGGAATGCAACTATCATGCATACTTCACTTCAAGGGCAGCAAGTAATATTTTGAAAAAGGAATTGAGCTTGATTAATATACTGAGATGGAGACTTGGAGTAGCCTGTTCCTGGCTCCGAGCTGAGTGTAGTCGGGTCCGCTGAATTGAGAAAGGACAGAAAGCGCGTTCCGTCACTTTCACGTCTTTATCTTCCCCACTATCTGAGAGCCTGGAACAGGCTAGAAGTGGAGTGAAAAAAGCGAAAAAACTAAGAATTTACACGAAGAATTCTTGTTTTGATTGTTTTTTCTTGTTTCGTTTTTTTTTTTATGGTTCGAGTTTATATCGTAGGTAGAATTATATAGATCAGTGATCTGAACGGAAAACAAAACTTATTTCGAGTTAGCAGGAGGATCGAGGGTTCGAGTTACTCCGAGGGTACATTTACAACGGGCGCGATCCATTCAACCAAAATTCCGACCGGTCCGACCGGGAAAAGTGGTCCACCTCAAAAGGTGGGCCAGTTTTTTCGAAACTTTTCCGGTTGGACCGAACCGATCCACTGAGTTTTGGACCGAAATTTCCGGAAATTTGGGTTGAATGGATCGCGCCCAATAAATGTGTGTAGGAAATCCCACGTAAGTGTAGTTTACGCGCATTTTTACGCGCTTTGTTTTTTCCCGCCAGTTAGTACTCTTCACCAGGCTTCTGCGGCCAATATGGCGGCGCATGCGAGTACTTCAACAAAATCCAGCCGAAAAAAAAGGAACTCTCTGATGCAGCTTGAGTAGTAGCATGTTAGCAAGGTCACTGGAGCTGGAAAATCGAAATGCGTTTTTCCCTCGTAAGAAAAGGACGTTTTGCTTTAGTTGATTTCAGAAGAACGCTCTCTACCCTAATATCGTTTGACGAAGTCCATGTTCGTGACAAGTTCAAAGCTCTAGGAAGCGGCGATGTTNGGTTCGAGTTTATATCGTAGGTAGAATTATATAGATCAGTGATCTGAACGGAAAACAAAACTTATTTCGAGTTAGCAGGAGGATCGAGGGTTCGAGTTACTCCGAGGGTACATTTACAACGGGCGCGATCCATTCAACCAAAATTCCGACCGGTCCGACCGGGAAAAGTGGTCCACCTCAAAAGGTGGGCCAGTTTTTTCGAAACTTTTCCGGTTGGACCGAACCGATCCACTGAGTTTTGGACCGAAATTTCCGGAAATTTGGGTTGAATGGATCGCGCCCAATAAATGTGTGTAGGAAATCCCACGTAAGTGTAGTTTACGCGCATTTTTACGCGCTTTGTTTTTTCCCGCCAGTTAGTACTCTTCACCAGGCTTCTGCGGCCAATATGGCGGCGCATGCGAGTACTTCAACAAAATCCAGCCGAAAAAAAAGGAACTCTCTGATGCAGCTTGAGTAGTAGCATGTTAGCAAGGTCACTGGAGCTGGAAAATCGAAATGCGTTTTTCCCTCGTAAGAAAAGGACGTTTTGCTTTAGTTGATTTCAGAAGAACGCTCTCTACCCTAATATCGTTTGACGAAGTCCATGTTCGTGACAAGTTCAAAGCTCTAGGAAGCGGCGATGTTACGGTAACTAAACTGCGGGGAAACCAGCAAGGGGTTGCAGTTATAACACTCATGAATCCCGAGCGTAAAAATGCTTTGACAGGCTATATGATGGTGAAACTAGCCGAGGCTGTTGACGAACTTGAACAATGGCAAGATGGCAAAGCTCTTGTCTTACATGGTAGTGAAGGATATTTTTGTTCGGGAGGTGATTTAAGTGTTGTTAAGGCGATCAATACCCCGGAGGAAGGAAACATCATGTGTGCCTTCATGCAAAGAACGCTTAGTCGGCTGGGAAGGCTTCCCCTTATCAGCGTGGCTGCAGTTGAAGGGAGAGCATTAGGCGGAGGGGCTGAGGTGAGTGCAGAAATTAATACCATACATGCAAGACATGCCAGAGACAGAGTCAGGGGCGGGGTGCTGTGGTCCACCTACCCTTACCCCATTTACAATCCACCCTTTCTTTGATAGCCCAGATACCCCTGCCTGCCTTCTTTAACTTGGACACAGACTTTGTATCTGTGTGAGCGAGTAGCATTCCTCCAAGTAAATCTATCCTTCCTTGAATGGGCCCATCAAACAGACCAGGCAACTCCCATGTATTTGGGTCACAGTATTTCCATAGATCATTTTGTTCACAGTTTTCACTGATAAGCCATATCCTTATTAGCTGCCTCTCAATCAATAGCCTGCGTCACAGACGTAATCTAAACCTGGCAATAACATCTGCAAAACAGCACTGAGATCCTTATTCTGGATCCCAAAAGGACAGACTCAACAAATTACAAAGAGTGGGTTTCGAATTTCCCTTTAACCTAATTGGCCTATCAAACAATAGCTTCTTTAACGGGCCAATCATGGCATGTATTCAAATCCTGTTACACAGTTGGGGGCCCTGAACAAGGATTTTGGCACTGTCTTGTAGATGGACTTAACAGGAAGTTAGGTTTTGTCAGTGGTGCCAGCTGCCACTTAGGCATTACAAGTCATAGTAATCATCCTATTGTTTTTTCACATTATAGCTGGCAGTAGCCTGTGATTTCCGTCTCATGTCCAAAACTGCAGAGATCAGATTTGTGCAAGTGAAGATGGGCCTGACACCAGGGTGGGGTGGGGGAACTCGCCTTGTGAGGTTACTAGGGAAACAGCAAGCACTACAGCTACTAGGCAAAGGACAGAAAGTAGACCTGTCATATGGACGGCAGTTAGGTCTAGTTGATGGTGAGCTGCCAACAAACCAGGTCAGACTTTGTTGTGAAGGAACTTTTAAAAGAACTCTAAATGTCCAATGTTTTCACTATTATAATTTTTTTATGTTAGAAGGGTGCACAACGTTTATTAGGTTGGGAAATTTGGAAATTTAATTTGAGAGTACAGTTTATTTCTGCCTAAAGGCAGGTACATACTGTGCTCAGAGTACACTGGTGCCAGTACCTGGGTCTGGACTTCTAATGAACCTCCTGTAGGTCACGGCAACATAGAACATATTGGGTAGACAAATTACAGAATTACAAATTTATGTACCCACGGAGCACTTAAGAGTTCTTACGAACTCATTTGAATGTGTCCATGCATTTCAGATCGAATTGGAATTTGAAAGTGTTGGTTTTTGAGGAGAGGAGAAAACTGGACATACACTACCCAGAGAAAAACCTCTCAGAGCAAGGGAGAGGACCAACAACACACCTGACCCACATTAGGCATTGATGCTGGGATTTGAACCCAGTTCTCCCATTGGTGGGAGGCAAGTGCTCTTCCTACCACACCACCCTCCTCCCCCCTCCCTCCAAAGGTTGATAACACAATCACATGAACACATATCTAGTTATAAGCTTTATTCTTCTTAGTGAGGTTTACATCAACAGAATAGGAGGCCAAGTAGATAAAATAAATCTTTGAAACAAGTAGTTAAGATTGTTGTCAACATAGCAGGTTAAGTAAATCCTAATAGTTAATTGGCAGGAGGCAGTCACGTAAGATCTTTATAAGGTGACCGAGGAAATTCACCAACACTGAAGTAGAAAAAAACCCCTCATGATTTCTGAGAAACAGATCGTCTTCTCTATCGCTGTTACTGGCCACTGTAAACCCAACTGTGAACTGACTGTAATTTTATGTGCTGTCTCTTCACTGTCACTGAGCAAGAAGAAGGTTGCCTCTGGAAACTAAAAAGGTGGCTTTCTTTCTCTTTCCTGTTTTTTTTTTCTAGGATGTAGTGACAAGTTGCTGTGCTTGGTTATCAGAGTTCCTTGAAGCAGACACCTCTGTTCTTAGAGGAATCAAGGGCGTGGTTTCTGCTGGAGATCATTTAGGAAATCAAGATGCACTAGATAAGGAAAGGCAAGTCCATTATTCCCTTGAGTTATAGCCAGGGTCAATTGTGGAAACATGTGTAAACACTCAAAGTGCCAGGCTGTAGCGGTCATTTAGACAAGGTGGTCGTCACTAGGGAGGGTCAAACTGGAGGGATCTCTCCCTTGGAACAGGTCTAATTATTGTTTTGTGGTTTTGTGGCTTGCTCTGGCATATCCTGATCTTTGCTGTGATTGGTGTTAACATAACTAACATTTGGATTCCTGAAATGTTTTGGGTGTTCATGGTTTTCTTAGTAAAGTTGTCACGTCATGAAGGCAAGTAACTGAGGAATCCTATTGTTCTGATTGATGGCTGTTGGATATAAAGTGACAACAATCCCACAAACTTTGCAATGCTAAAATAATGCAAAATTTTATCACCAATACAAGGAAATAATTATGTATTGTTTATCAAGTTACCCATGACAGTCACATAAATAATTATAAATAATGGAGACTTTGCGGCTTTCGACTCCTGACTGGTTTAAATGATCATCTAAAAGAAGGGAGGGGAAGATACAGTAAGCTGATTTACATGTATGAGGCAATTCAACCAATTGATTCAGATCCATTTTCATTGTTTCACAGGTCAATTTTTACATCTGTATGGGGAGCAGAAGCAAACAAGCAAGCTTTAGAACAATCCATGAAACATAATTGACAATAAAACTGTTTTAATTGTTAAATTTTAAATATTAGACTAAAATACCTGTATACACACTACTCTCACTCACAAGGTCACATGTATAAACTGCTACAGCAGGAAATGTTTCTTNAGGCAATTCAACCAATTGATTCAGATCCATTTTCATTGTTTCACAGGTCAATTTTTACATCTGTATGGGGAGCAGAAGCAAACAAGCAAGCTTTAGAACAATCCATGAAACATAATTGACAATAAAACTGTTTTAATTGTTAAATTTTAAATATTAGACTAAAATACCTGTATACACACTACTCTCACTCACAAGGTCACATGTATAAACTGCTACAGCAGGAAATGTTTCTTTTTTAATAATTATTACACCCCATATTAAGCCAGATACCCTTGCCCTCTTCTGCTCAGGGAGGTGATTGGCTTGTAATAATGAAGAACTAAGTATTACATAACTGGGGACATGGAATCAACCAACCAGTGATGTTCATTGCATTATATAGGTGCTGCCTTAGAGAGAGTGCAATAAATAACCAAAGAATGGAATACTTTGGCATGTGGGTTGCTTAAAACAATTACGACCCTTTGCAGCTTGTAATTCACATTCTATAAAACTGCCATGCTGTAGAATTAAAGTTTTGTTTGATAGATTAGTTACTGCAGATAACAAGGCAAGGACAATGTAAGATATAGAGGAGTAATCAAACAGTGCAAACATCACACATTTTTTGATGGATGCCAGAGTTTGTGTCTGTTGAACTGTTTAAGGTCAAAAAATACTCTAAAACAAGGAAAGTTTTTGAATTTTTGAAACTGACAGCTAAACCTGAAAAGGTCATGGAAAGTCATAGAATTTGTAGAGCTCAAAAGAGTAAAAAACCCTGCCAGTGCATCCCACATGAATGACAAGCTACAAAAGGCCCTTCAGGGGTGACTGGAATAAAGCCCCAAGTGACTTGTGGCAAACTGGTAAATTCTCCTTCTAAAAGCGCTTAAGTACCCAGAGCCTTTTTTCCAAGCAACCCTAACAAAAATTATTATTTCCATCACGTTGTCTGATCAGCTTTGGCTACCTAGTAGCCCAGCATACAATTCCACAGCACAATTTTATACAGTGGTATTATATACCAAGTGCATCATTATTGACAAAGCAAGAGGTCAAGATTGCTGATATTGGCCAAGTATTTGTAATTTTTTTATGGACAAAGGTAAAGTTGTGGCCAATAAGAAGGGGACAAAATGATGGGCCCAGTACTCAGAAATCTTGACAACAAAAAAGGCTGTGTCGATAAAGAAATTATTATGTGGCCAAAACAAAACCTTTTATTGCAGAACAAAGGGGGAGGGGGATCCTCAAAAGACAGGATTCTCTGTATCTTGCCTGCTCTACAATAATGTGGTATTGGTATCTTAACTATCTTGCGATTCTTGGGACCCAGATTTGTATTTTATTCTGTAGGTAGCTCTTCAACTTTTCACGGAAGTAAAAAAAATTCAGCAAAACGCAAATGGTGCCTTATGGCATCAAGCACCTTTTAAGTTACTCTTTAGCACCAAGGTCGCTATGAGGGTTATGTTTCATTTTTGTCTTTATCATTTTCCTGATTTTCTCCACTCGTCATGTTTGCATTGTTCTCTTTATTTTCCTCCACCTCTTCTTTATCCTCTTCCTTTACCTCTTCTGTGGGAACATCTGAAGTAACAGCTGCTGCCGCAAGAGCTGCACGGTTTCTAGCAGCAACCACCAAACTATGAGGGTGTGGGGGAAGAACACCAGCCTACATAAAACAATTTATTAAAGACAGTTTTTAGCATCTATGCTCTAATCAGTGATGCAGCACTTGCAGCAACAATGAAACAGTATTTCCTCTATTTACAAAATGTAAATAAAACCTGAAGGCTTATTTTTTTCAGTGTTTCTAGACTTGCCACAAAATAAAGGAGATGTGGGAAAGTTCAACTAGTGTTTTATACAATGGGAGATTTTAAAGTTGGATCAGATTGTGATGTTTAGAAGCATTTTTCCATTTTGTGATAATAATAATAATAATAATAATAATAATAAATAAAAGAATCTTTATTACAAAACCTCAATTAAAATCCTATTTACAATCAACTGCTGTTACAAAAAATCTAATTAATTCATCAAAAACACCATCTACAATTCCATCCGTTACAAAAGAAACCCCTCGTCCTTCGTTACAGAACAAAAACAATCCTATATATTATAAGTGGAGATAGAAAAAACTATTCATTTACAAATTCTAAAAAATAGAAGTAACTTAACCTTACATAAAAGAGGAGGAAATAGATATAATTAATAATAAAAGTTCAAAATTCTATAAAATTAAGAATTCCATTATGCAGAGATATTAAGATCCTGCAATCGAATTATACTAATGACGGCTAAACCAGTGTCCATAAAAAGCCCTAAGTATAAAAGCATATAGACACGTATTTCAGATATCCGCACTAGCGACATTTATTTTACAGTCTAATGATTGCTCTAGCTTGCTACGAAACGGCGTTCGCGAACCTCTGACGCATGCATGTACCGATCTTAAGAGTTCAAACGAGATCTGTGTCCTGAGCCAAGTGATTACAACATGATAAGGCTCGGTGTCTTTCTGAGCTATCTTGTCTGCGAGATGCTTTAAGAACCGCTGACACTCGTTTCCCATTCCGCCATTGGTTCCAAACACTAAAGGCGTAAACGAACCCATTTCTACATCTAACACCCGCTGCTGGTACTTGCGCTTCTTCTCTTCTTCTTGCTCTTTGAACACTTCCGATGTTGGCTTGCTCTGGTAACACTTGGAGTTGACGTGCGTAACTCTAACATCAAAAAATGCCGTAACTCCTCTTGCCCAGAAACCTCCCGCTTTGATGTCCAACCTTGCCTCAGAACTTGTAACAGCGCTCCTCAAATGAAATCGCTCGTTGTCCAGGGGTTGAAGGCGTGGTTCGATTTCGACATTATTGCAGATCTTGTCGATGAATGTCGTTAACAAGTTCCGTACACCATCATGTCTCTGCGCTACAAACCCCCCCTTTTTACAAGAGAGGGCGTGACTAACGGTGAATTTATCCCCACATATGCAATGACTTGGTAAATCGACTAAGGGTAAGTCATAACGCAAGCGTAGCGAGTCTCTGAACTCTTGCTTGTTGAGGGCTAAACCTTTGTCTGCGAGAGGCATCGCATTCAGCCAAGAACTTGCGCCCTTGTCCCTCGATTGATTAACCAGACGCAGCAGGCCTGGGGAGAGGCTTGAATCAATGCTATCCATTTTCTCTTTGGCACTTGCTCTCTTAAGTGATTGTTGATGCCTCTTTAGCTCCTCCGTAGATCTTTCTCCTGGCACCATGATGGAACTCTGTGATGTAATAGAATCTACGTGGGCGGTGGTTATTAGTCTCGAGGCAGCAAACTGCTGCGGTGCCTCGGATTTCAGATCAGGAATGCCTAGACCCCCTTGACCCGTTGCTAAGGTAGCAAGTCTGCGCACCTCGTTAGGGAGAGGCTCTGATTGACCGAACAAAGTAGGGAGTAGTAAATCTTCAATCACTTCCTGGATTGGATCGACATAATCTTCAAACGATTCAATCGTGCGCATGAAGTAGGTGAACTTCGACTTGTAGCCTTTTGTGAAAGCAATATACGCCGCATGGGGCTGGCTCTTCGCTATTTCAGAGAGACATTCGATTTCCTCTTTCCATGCACGAACCTTCTCCTCACAATACTGATCTTTGTATTCTTGCGACGCAATAACTGCTCCCAGATGGCGCTGACCTTCAATCGTTATGTTGACTTCCTCTCCAAACACCCTCTTTGCTTCCTCCGCTAGTTCCCTAGACTTCACAATAAGCCAGCTCTTTGTCCCATTCACAAGGTAACCAAACTTTTGTCCTTCCTTACTCAATTGCCTGTACCAGTTGTATAAGTGCACTATACTCCCTCCTCCAGCTGAGTCGTCTGCAAGCCACACCTGTTTAACCAATGGGCAATGATCCCTCAAATTCTGTATCATTATGGATGTATTAAGTGCATACCTTGGCATCGCTAGCGGATCTCCTTGTGTGGTGCCTTCTCGAGAAAGTATATTTAATAATAATAATAATTATTATTATTACTATTATTATTATCATCATTATCATTTGTCACCTTCCGGCCAAAGGAAATTTTCCATTAATTTTCTGGAAAATTGAGGAAATTAATGTTAAAAATTGACCTATTCAGGAGACAAAAACAAGAAATCTAGTTTAACCTGAAATGGGTTTTCACCTTCAACATATCCACTTTTTAATTTTTTCTAATGATGAAGTGAAACTACTGTGAAACAAGCCTTGGTCTTAACTAAAATAAACATTGAATAGGGCCAGTGATGGTAGTGTTGGCAAAGAGGAACAGGTGAGGGAAGGGGCCAGGATCAGTGGCCACCTTAACTTACCAGTCCTAGTAATATTGCCACAGGTCTTGAAGGCCTAGCTCCAACTGACAACCAGTATCTAGATTGATTTCAGTAAAAAGAAAAAAAGAAACAGAAAAAAATGTTTGTATGGAAAACGCATGCAGACGTTAATATTCTTCTCACAAAAAGTATAAAGTACCTGGCACTGTTGTGTTTCATAGAGTACAAAACAACTTAAAAATAACTTAATCTCAAACTGCTAACCTTATTCTATCCATATTTAAACTTGCCAGCTTTTCATTCCTGGTGTTTGACACCGGATCAAACGTCCCAACCTATAATTGATAGAAGAATTAAGCTTTATTAGCAAATTATATAATGAGCGAATGAACGCTGAGCACAGTTGAACTCTCAGTATTAATTCTCGTTTTGAGCATTACTGTACCTGCTCTAGATAGCCTCTGTTTCGAGGTTTATATCTGTTGGTAGCCACGATATAAAAGAAAGGCCTGTTTTTGCAGCCATAGAGGGCAAACCGAAGAGTTACTAAAGATTTTCTCATACCTAAAACACATTTGCCAGGCGTTTTTGGAGTACGACTCAAACATGTAGAAAAACTGGTGACTAGCCTAGTGCCTAGACTTCCAGCGGTGCGTGTCTAAGTTATTGTGTAAGTGCGTGTCATTTGTGTCACGATGAGTGCAGCTTCTTGTGGTCGACCATGGATTGAAACCGAGAAAAACACCTGCATTTTTACAGAATTTTTTTAAATTGATAACACAGTTATTACAAGGATGCATAACTACAATGCATACGTGTTGAATGGCGGGTAAAAGTCGCTCTTCGAGGCTGCTTAGAGAAGATCAATGTACTTCAAAGGTTTGTTCAGTTATCCAAACTGCTGCTACAGTTCAGTTCTGTTTCAGTTCTGTTCATTATTTACATTACATTTGTTATCGACTATGCTACAGGGTTATTACAGTTTCTTTTGATAACAACTTCTTTAGATTACAGTTCAGCCTCTGGACGACAGTGATGTTAAGCATTTATTACTGTCACTGAAGGACTTGGTTTCTTCGGCGCTTGGCCCAACTGGAAGGTAAGATAATATTTTAATATGTGATGCGCACGTGACTGTAATTTATCCCATGTTCATGTTGATATCAGTCTTGTGAATTGCACCACCAAGCTGTTTTCTGGGAAACCGAAGCGCCTATGGTGTATCTTCAGTTGTTTTAATTTTTTACTGAAAACTGCTGCTTATAAGCACCCCCCCCCCGCCCCTCCCACTTATAAGCCCGACCAGTTATAGGCCCATCTACAAGGCCCTGGATAAAAGTGCCCCTCTGGCTTGTATTTATTATGACATTTTGAAGTCTAATAAAATACCAGTAAAAGTAAAACATGGTTTGAACAGTACTGCAGTAGCTTGTTTTGAAGCACTTTTTCTAGTCCAGTTACAGATGGTGTATGAGCCCCCTTGCATATAAGCCCCTCCATTTATAAGCCCACCTATAACCCCATACAAAGATGTATACGCCCATGTTTTTGTGATGGGTACACCCATTCAGAGGCTATGGACCTGTATATTATTGATACTGTACAGTTCCAAAGAGTATGGTTTTGACTCCTTGAAAAGCCCTGGGGTTGAAGCTGACTCCTTTTGTTTCAATTGGGTGTAGTTTTTGGTCATTTTGGTGTCCTCTGATAGAGAACAAGTATTTATGTTCTTTGGATTGGGTATGTTTTTTAATATATATTTTTTGAGAACATGCAGTAGTTTAGCTGGCCTGAAATAGGGTAGCCTGCTGATGTATTTCTGATTTGTTTCGAAGACAAGCTCGATTTACAGCTTTGAGCTTAAAGACTGACCTAAGCAACAAACATGGCTGCTTTAAAAAGCGTGAGGTCCAAAAGTCTGAAGTTAGCATCATGTAAAAGTCATGAAATAGGTGTAATGACAAAACACATCATGTAGCAATAACCAAACGTTCATTAGCATAATATGACACCTGCGTCGCAGACATAATTTAACCTTGGTTAGTAATGTCTACAAAGCAGCATCGATATCCTCATTCTGGGCCTCCAACTAACTCAACGAATTACTGGAAGAGTGTTCAAATTTCCTTTCATCTTGATTGGCAAATCGACAGTGCCTTGTTTAACAGGCCAATCATGGCGCGTACTCAAATCCTGGTACACAGGTGGGGGCCAGAACAAGGATTTCGGCACTGTTTTGCAGATGGACTTAACCAGAGTTTAGTTTCCTCTGCAGCGCAGGTTAGTATAGGGTAGAGAAAATCAATGCACATGCAATGCATTTCGGTCTACAAAGGGTAGCATACCACACATTCCCAGGAGTTACCCACACTCTGATGTTGTGGGTGGTCCTGGTGATAACTCAGATTTTTTGTCCATGCTGAGCTTAACCTTTACCATCTTTCACTAAATTTTTCTATTCACTCAATTTATCATCAGACTGAAATTCTTTCAGACTTCCTCTGGTGGATATGTGACTGTGACATCAACATCAAGCAGAATCTTTCACAGCTTGTCCAGCTTGTCACATCCCATACTGAGACTTATACTCTCAGCTGTGAGGGGACATTTAGATGCTTATAGTGATGGAGGACTTCGGACAGCGTTGCTTCTTTTGAGGTATCGTTACATTAGTAAAGTTATCGATAATCTTTCCATAACTTATAATAAATCTTTTAACTCTGTGCTGTGAAAATGGTTGGTACATGTTCTAGCTATAGTGGGCTATAGGGGTTTTAAAAGGGGTTATTTAATACCCTTTTCCTTTTTCATATAGCTTGTTACAATCCTCTCTTGACCTACCAGTTCCAAGAGCCTTGGTGACTCAAATCAATCAACATTTGTTGGAAGCGATCATCAACCATTTACAGTCATGTTGCTGGAAAATGAAGATTAATATTGGTGACATGAAGAGCATGTTGTCCATCGTAAACAGTATTGTCGGTACTAAACCTGCTTGTCACCTCAGTGAAACAGAGAAACGTCATGTTTCTGTGCTTATTATCCAGGTAACATTCAAGATTTTCATGAATTTCTAAATAAACATTCTACATTCTTATTTAGTGTTTTTACATGTAGTTAATGTGCAGTACTGTCAACTCTCCTGGATAATCCAGGAGACTCCCGATTTTGAACCATTTTTCCTGGTCTCCAGATTAGAGTCTGAAATCTCCTGAATAGTTGCCAAAGTTTGCTATTTCTTGTAGATTGGACTTTCTGTCAATGAAACTTCAAATATTTTGTGTTGTATCCACTGGATATATCACAGTCCAGTGGATAAGTGTTAGGGAAACCAATTGCATTATCCAGTGGATAGAGATTTACTTGTATCCAGTGAATAGCATTTAAAATCCACCTTTTGAACAACTGGGACCAGCTGTTTGAAAATATAAAAAAACACAGAGTTAAAATGTACCTTGTTCTGCAGTTGTGCTATTAGAGAACAGTTACATTTTTCCCCCTGCATCGAGTTTATGAGTTTATGAGTTGTCTGACTGGAGAGAGGCATTTGCCAAAATAAAATAATATTCAGAGTCAAAAAGGAGTTTGGTCGGCCTTCACTATGGCTCGACTTAGGCTGGTAAAATTTGGCAACAGCTTGAGCACCCAAAGCGCATTAGAGATATTTAAAATTCCCTGCACCCTGTTAACTGATTATTACTTTTCTTAACATTCAGGCTTTCCTCCAGTCTCTGCCAAGTAGCACAAATAAGGCACCCTCTGCAAGTCTCAAACAAACAGTGCCGGTACAAATAGTAACTTTTGAAGGAGAATCTGTGAAAGACTCTAAGGTGCTGCCAGGAATTCTCATACATACACCTGAAATTTCAACCTTTCGACAGTGTGGAAGAACTCTTGTTAGCCATGGTGCCAAGGTAGCCTTGTATAATGTATCAATGGCTGGAGATACAGATGAGTGGTTCTCAAGCAACATAAAAACAGAGACAGTGAGTGGCAGTTATGATTTTAGTGCAGCAAATATTGTCCTTCTTCAGCTGTTAAAGGTGGTGGATTGTTTACTTGACTCTGGTGTTAATGTCATTGCTTGTCAGAAGTGTGTACACCCAGCGCTGAAGCGGTATTTAAGAGACAAGGTTTGATGTTGTTGTTGTTTTATGCATGCTTTGTTGACCAAGCATGAGGTCAAGATAGCTGGATATTGGCCAAGTTCTTTTTTAATCTTTTATGAACCAAGACAAAGTTGAGGTCAGTAAAAACTCACAAAGAATGTGGTCAATATATGTAGCCATCTTGACCGAACAAGCTTGGTCAGTAAGGGGTTATGGCCAAAAAGGAAACTTTTTTCTTGCGGGACAAATGCGGGAAATTCCAAGCTGGCAAGATAGGCGTATCTTGCCCACTCAAGAAGCCAGTCAGAATGGAGGACTCACTTCATCTCGCCCACTCGCGGATTCTGCCATATAATATAATCTTGTAAACCTGGAGGTACAGATTGGCTGAGACCTCAAGTGTGGCATAATTAGAACGTAGCTTATGAAAGGTAGGTTACTGTCCACTTCAACAATTAGTTTCATGTGTGATCAATAAAATATGTTTGAAAGTGATTTTATTTTTCTCAAGAAAGTTAATATTGAGCAGTGGCATAATCTTAGACAAAAAGGTAAAAAAATCGAAGTGATCTATGGGTTTCATAGTATTTTTTATTGTTCTGTTTGAGATTTCTTGTTTGAACTACCAGAAATTTAATGATTATTTTTATTACCTTGATATTTTCATCTTTTTTCTTTCTATCTCAGGGTGCATTCGTGTTGGAACGTTTGTCTATTCTTCACATTTCTGCTGTTCAGCGCCTGACTGGGGCTTCAATCCTTAGTACTTTCAACACAGATACCCCTGAATCAAGCTTTGGGCAACTGGGGAAGATTGAACATGTCGTGTTAAATGACAAGAGGTCAGTTGAAATTCTTGTCATCTGTAGTTCTAGTGGAACCCCATATAACGGGGTGCACTGTAGTTAAATTGGACATGTTCAGTTGGTGTAAATAGGGCATCAGTTTGGTTCGTCATACTAAAAGTTTGACATCTAGACTTGGCCATGGGTAATCAAGAAGCCACTCGTTTCATGTTGTGAGCAGCCTGTGTAATTTCCCCACCAAGCTGTTTTCTGGGAACCCCAGGCGGCTTTGGTTTATCTTCGGTTGTTTGAATTTTTTTCGGAAAACTGTGTCTAAAAAGCGCCCCCCCCCCGCCCCTCCCACTTATAAGCCCGACCAGTTATAGGCCCATCTACAAGGCCCTGGATAAAAGTGCCCCTCTGGCTTGTATTTATTATGACATTTTGAAGTCTAATAAAATACCAGTAAAAGTAAAACATGGTTTGAACAGTACTGCAGTAGCTTGTTTTGAAGCACTTTTTCTAGTCCAGTTACAGATGGTGTATGAGCCCCCTTGCATATAAGCCCCTCCATTTATAAGCCCACCTATAACCCCATACAAAGATGTATACGCCCATGTTTTTGTGATGGGTACACCCATTCAGAGGCTATGGACCTGTATATTATTGATACTGTACAGTTCCAAAGAGTATGGTTTTGACTCCTTGAAAAGCCCTGGGGTTGAAGCTGACTCCTTTTGTTTCAATTGGGTGTAGTTTTTGGTCATTTTGGTGTCCTCTGATAGAGAACAAGTATTTATGTTCTTTGGATTGGGTATGTTTTTTAATATATATTTTTTGAGAACATGCAGTAGTTTAGCTGGCCTGAAATAGGGTAGCCTGCTGATGTATTTCTGATTTGTTTCGAAGACAAGCTCGATTTACAGCTTTGAGCTTAAAGACTGACCTAAGCAACAAACATGGCTGCTTTAAAAAGCGTGAGGTCCAAAAGTCTGAAGTTAGCATCATGTAAAAGTCATGAAATAGGTGTAATGACAAAACACATCATGTAGCAATAACCAAACGTTCATTAGCATAATATGACACCTGCGTCGCAGACATAATTTAACCTTGGTTAGTAATGTCTACAAAGCAGCATCGATATCCTCATTCTGGGCCTCCAACTAACTCAACGAATTACTGGAAGAGTGTTCAAATTTCCTTTCATCTTGATTGGCAAATCGACAGTGCCTTGTTTAACAGGCCAATCATGGCGCGTACTCAAATCCTGGTACACAGGTGGGGGCCAGAACAAGGATTTCGGCACTGTTTTGCAGATGGACTTAACCAGAGTTTAGTTTCCTCTGCAGCGCAGGTTAGTATAGGGTAGAGAAAATCAATGCACATGCAATGCATTTCGGTCTACAAAGGGTAGCATACCACACATTCCCAGGAGTTACCCACACTCTGATGTTGTGGGTGGTCCTGGTGATAACTCAGATTTTTTGTCCATGCTGAGCTTAACCTTTACCATCTTTCACTAAATTTTTCTATTCACTCAATTTATCATCAGACTGAAATTCTTTCAGACTTCCTCTGGTGGATATGTGACTGTGACATCAACATCAAGCAGAATCTTTCACAGCTTGTCCAGCTTGTCACATCCCATACTGAGACTTATACTCTCAGCTGTGAGGGGACATTTAGATGCTTATAGTGATGGAGGACTTCGGACAGCGTTGCTTCTTTTGAGGTATCGTTACATTAGTAAAGTTATCGATAATCTTTCCATAACTTATAATAAATCTTTTAACTCTGTGCTGTGAAAATGGTTGGTACATGTTCTAGCTATAGTGGGCTATAGGGGTTTTAAAAGGGGTTATTTAATACCCTTTTCCTTTTTCATATAGCTTGTTACAATCCTCTCTTGACCTACCAGTTCCAAGAGCCTTGGTGACTCAAATCAATCAACATTTGTTGGAAGCGATCATCAACCATTTACAGTCATGTTGCTGGAAAATGAAGATTAATATTGGTGACATGAAGAGCATGTTGTCCATCGTAAACAGTATTGTCGGTACTAAACCTGCTTGTCACCTCAGTGAAACAGAGAAACGTCATGTTTCTGTGCTTATTATCCAGGTAACATTCAAGATTTTCATGAATTTCTAAATAAACATTCTACATTCTTATTTAGTGTTTTTACATGTAGTTAATGTGCAGTACTGTCAACTCTCCTGGATAATCCAGGAGACTCCCGATTTTGAACCATTTTTCCTGGTCTCCAGATTAGAGTCTGAAATCTCCTGAATAGTTGCCAAAGTTTGCTATTTCTTGTAGATTGGACTTTCTGTCAATGAAACTTCAAATATTTTGTGTTGTATCCACTGGATATATCACAGTCCAGTGGATAAGTGTTAGGGAAACCAATTGCATTATCCAGTGGATAGAGATTTACTTGTATCCAGTGAATAGCATTTAAAATCCACCTTTTGAACAACTGGGACCAGCTGTTTGAAAATATAAAAAAACACAGAGTTAAAATGTACCTTGTTCTGCAGTTGTGCTATTAGAGAACAGTTACATTTTTCCCCCTGCATCGAGTTTATGAGTTTATGAGTTGTCTGACTGGAGAGAGGCATTTGCCAAAATAAAATAATATTCAGAGTCAAAAAGGAGTTTGGTCGGCCTTCACTATGGCTCGACTTAGGCTGGTAAAATTTGGCAACAGCTTGAGCACCCAAAGCGCATTAGAGATATTTAAAATTCCCTGCACCCTGTTAACTGATTATTACTTTTCTTAACATTCAGGCTTTCCTCCAGTCTCTGCCAAGTAGCACAAATAAGGCACCCTCTGCAAGTCTCAAACAAACAGTGCCGGTACAAATAGTAACTTTTGAAGGAGAATCTGTGAAAGACTCTAAGGTGCTGCCAGGAATTCTCATACATACACCTGAAATTTCAACCTTTCGACAGTGTGGAAGAACTCTTGTTAGCCATGGTGCCAAGGTAGCCTTGTATAATGTATCAATGGCTGGAGATACAGATGAGTGGTTCTCAAGCAACATAAAAACAGAGACAGTGAGTGGCAGTTATGATTTTAGTGCAGCAAATATTGTCCTTCTTCAGCTGTTAAAGGTGGTGGATTGTTTACTTGACTCTGGTGTTAATGTCATTGCTTGTCAGAAGTGTGTACACCCAGCGCTGAAGCGGTATTTAAGAGACAAGGTTTGATGTTGTTGTTGTTTTATGCATGCTTTGTTGACCAAGCATGAGGTCAAGATAGCTGGATATTGGCCAAGTTCTTTTTTAATCTTTTATGAACCAAGACAAAGTTGAGGTCAGTAAAAACTCACAAAGAATGTGGTCAATATATGTAGCCATCTTGACCGAACAAGCTTGGTCAGTAAGGGGTTATGGCCAAAAAGGAAACTTTTTTCTTGCGGGACAAATGCGGGAAATTCCAAGCTGGCAAGATAGGCGTATCTTGCCCACTCAAGAAGCCAGTCAGAATGGAGGACTCACTTCATCTCGCCCACTCGCGGATTCTGCCATATAATATAATCTTGTAAACCTGGAGGTACAGATTGGCTGAGACCTCAAGTGTGGCATAATTAGAACGTAGCTTATGAAAGGTAGGTTACTGTCCACTTCAACAATTAGTTTCATGTGTGATCAATAAAATATGTTTGAAAGTGATTTTATTTTTCTCAAGAAAGTTAATATTGAGCAGTGGCATAATCTTAGACAAAAAGGTAAAAAAATCGAAGTGATCTATGGGTTTCATAGTATTTTTTATTGTTCTGTTTGAGATTTCTTGTTTGAACTACCAGAAATTTAATGATTATTTTTATTACCTTGATATTTTCATCTTTTTTCTTTCTATCTCAGGGTGCATTCGTGTTGGAACGTTTGTCTATTCTTCACATTTCTGCTGTTCAGCGCCTGACTGGGGCTTCAATCCTTAGTACTTTCAACACAGATACCCCTGAATCAAGCTTTGGGCAACTGGGGAAGATTGAACATGTCGTGTTAAATGACAAGAGGTCAGTTGAAATTCTTGTCATCTGTAGTTCTAGTGGAACCCCATATAACGGGGTGCACTGTAGTTAAATTGGACATGTTCAGTTGGTGTAAATAGGGCATCAGTTTGGTTCGTCATACTAAAAGTTTGACATCTAGACTTGGCCATGGGTAATCAAGAAGCCACTCCAGATTAAGGACTTGGACCAGTCCAACAAACTATTCGCTGAAAGCTCTGGTTGCCAGCCACTCACAAAAATAATTTTTCCACCCTATTTGTTTCTCAACACTTTTGCTCGACCAAAACAAGCATAGGATTTTCAAAAACAAAGTAAATGTGGGTAAATAAGACTGTCTTCCTCATGGCTAAAACTCTCTCCATGGTTGCTCAAAATGCACTGGGATGCAATTTTCGAGGCCCTCAAAATTAAAATTTCCCTGGAGAACCCCCCAACTCCCCCAGTGGAAGGGGACAGCTCCTTCCCATCCCTACGGCTGTTTACCTCACACGTGAAGAAAGGTGCTTTGCAGCATTCGATCTAACCTATTTCCGCCTATCAGAATTTTTGTCTCCTTGTACTTTAAATTTTCTGAATAACTCAGCCTACTGGTTGGGGGTATGGCATGAGGACACTGTAAGAAAGTAGTTCCCACTAGTGAAAAATTAATTTTATTCATGGATTAGGAGAGGTTATGTCAAACACTAGGAAGAATGCGTTATCTGCATGTATCCGAAGAACTCCAAGAATAAGTAAACATTTTAGAAGCTATTTCAAACACTTTTCATTGTGTTTTATCCACGTTATCCAGTGGCCTTGAGGTTCAAAGGAAAAGAAATGGAAACACGTATTTTTAACCCACTTTGTGGTGTCAGGAGTGTTTAGATAAAGCACTTAGCACTTGGAAATAATATAAAACACCCAAATATAGATAAATTGATTATAATACAAGTCCTAAATGTCTACAAAACGTTTTTTCTCTCTTTTTTGTAACAGCTATCTACATCTTCTGCCACAGTCTTCCCAAGAGTCACCATATGTTTGCACACTTTTGCTATGTTCATCAGATGAGACTTCACTAGATGAGCTGAAGATAGTCTGTGAAGCATCCATGGTTGCTTTGCATGAGACACTGGCATGCCCTTATGTTTTGCCTGGAGCTGGGTGTCTGGACACACATTTGGCGTCATTCTTGAGGCAGTATGGGTACAACAGTGGTTCAAAGATTGCTACTGAGTTCGGCTGCACTAAAGGTAACTAAGTTTTTGATGTTAACAGGGAGATAGGGTTTGTTCAGGCCAACATGTACGCCTTTCAAACAAGCTGCAAACTGAAGCAAAGCAAAGAAGCAAGGTTCATTCGACCCTACCTCAGATCTGGGTTGTGACGCGTCATCAGTATTGAATTTCTGCGTTCGTTTCTCAGACGTCATTTCGGAGGGAAACCAGTGGTAGCTTTGCCGAATGTCGGCTGTTTTCTCAGGCTGAATCCCTCTATCATCTAAGCGTTTCACGGGCGAAACAGAATCACGAAGAAAGCGCAGAGCTTACACTAGAAGGGAGTCGCAAGTTTATTGCGTGGCTAGTTTTGTAGGAAATATGACAAAGTCGGGACTTGGAGATGATCTTGCGAATTCTGTTCTTAGGTATTTCTGTTGTCAATGTGAAGCCGTAATTGGAGAAATTGAAAAGAATCCCAATTTTCAGTGAAAGTTTCAAGCTTTCAATTTTCAAGCTAAGCCACTTTCATGAATTTAGTTTCCGTTCTCACACTAAGTTTTTTTCTTTTAATAAGGTCAAGTTGTTACTGTCATCAACAACGTGGCCAGTAGCTTGGAATCTTTGGCCAGGAGCCTTGAGCATGATGGGGGTGGTCATCTGACTGACTCAGCCAATCAGCATCATTGGAGTGTTCCACCTGGGGCACTGGAACTAAAACCCAGCATGCCTTGCTGCACTTGTGGCCTTGTGTCACATGATGAAACTATGTGGTGGAGCATCATGGGAGATATTGAGGGTTGTGTTTTGCAAGACTCGTGCGACGGTGAAATTAACCATTGCTATACTCCAGATGCTGGAGAGAAGACTTTCGATAACTCAGTGCTGGATATGTTTTCAATGAAGACAAACTGTTACAGAACTGCGTTTGAAACTGCTAATGCTATTTTAAGAGTTCATTGTGTAATTTGCAGCAGTATTGCTGATTAAACATCAGATAACTGGAAATTGTCTTTAGACACGAGGAGTGAGTTTAGGCTTTCATTTCGTGACGAAAAGAGAGAGGGAAAATTAGGGAAAAAGAAAGCCAACGTTTTTCCTGCTTTTCTTCACGTTTACCATTATTGTTGCCCCAAAAAGTGGCAGTGGCATCAGTTAGCTAGACTGTGGGGTGGGATTAGGCTCCTTAGTGGGGGTAGGAAGACAAAAAAGGGGGTAAAACAGCAAAAAATCGGCGAACGAAACGAGCTAGTAGTGGACTGGGGAGGGAATAGGACCACCCTTTTCCCTCCGTAGACTTCCGGTCGGCTCGCTTTGCTTGCCCATTTTTTTTTTTCGCCATCGCCGATCATTAAAATTTCCTCCGATTCGGGATTCCGTAAGCAAAAATTTCCTGGATTCCGGTATTTCCTAGATTATCGGCATTTGGTTCTATTGAAAACTTTAGTTTGGACGGACGAACGGGCCACCCTCCTGTTTCTGTAAATCGGCGTTTTGTTTAGCTAAAGTAAGGAAATTTAGTAAGTGCCACAAGGTTACTGACGGGTGTTATTTTCGCTCCTAAGTGCCACGCTTAGTCGAAGGCGACGCTCTTCGAAGTAGGCTATATGCCAGGCTATATGCAAGGCCCAAATCGACCAAATTTCTCGCGAAACGGCTTCCAGTGGCTTTGGGCAAAACGACCTGATACTAAGTATCGATAAGAAGTCAGTTGGCAAATCAACAAATTGAATCGAAATGGAATTTAGATATATTGGTTTTTGAGTAGAGGGGAAAACCCGAGTACCCGGAGTTGAGAAAAGCCTTTACAAGCAAAAGCAACTCGCATATTGCATGTGGCGTCCACTCCTTTCCTCCTGCATAGCCTGTGTACAGACCCCGCCCCCTCCCCTCAGAAAAAGTCGGAGAAGGGGTTCATGAGGGGAGGGGAAGTCCTCACTCCTGGACTACGTAGCCTGCGTGGCAGGCGAACAAAGGGGAGGGGGAGGGGAGGGAGAAAAGTGCGAAAGAGGGGAAAAGGAAACCTTACCCTCTCTCCCCAGTCCCCCTCTTTTTTCCTTCCTCCCTATCCCCTTTTCCCCTACCCCTTTCGCCGCCTGTTACGCAGGCTAGGACTAAGGGCCTCTGGCACCCTGCTAGCAGAGCCACTCGCTTTTGGCGTACTCCAGGAACACTCTGCATGAATCGAGTAAGATCTTTGTTGAGCAAGCGACTTCAAAGGTTTGACGTGATACAGGCAGAGCCTCTTTTTCTCCTCCTCTACTTGCTGGGCCGGGTGGGTCTCTGGGAACAAGAATGCTTGTTTACAATGGGAAGGGGTAAGCTTTACGGCTCAGTCAAAACCAAGCGTGCCCATCCGCCCCCGGGCATTTGTTTGGCATTTGTCATTTTGTTTTGGAAAACCTGCAAATGCCCCATGGTTGAGCCAGGCGTTCATACAAAACAGCGGCGGATTCAGGGGAGGGTCCGGGGGCTCCGGACACCCCCCTCCCTCCCCCCCATCAGATCTGACGCTTGTTTCAGACTGAAATTCTTACATCGACAGGATCGTATATCACTTTTTAACTGGCTGGTTTTTTTTTATAAAACGCGCGTTGCATTTTGCATTTTGTCTATGTTTGCCTCTGCTCGCAAAGCAGTTTACCGCGCAAACGGCGACGGGCGTTCACAGATTGAGAAACAGGTGGTCGTCTCTGTGAGAAGTAATTTGCCACAAAAAAGTTCAACAGTCCTTTCTGCACCAAAGTTTGGACCCCCCAATCAAACGTTCCTGGATCCGCCCCTGCAAAAACCCCACGGTGGGGCTTAAAATAAGGGTGCAAATGCCCCACCCCGGGACAACAACAAATTGTTTTTTTCCAGTGAATAAGCCGCAAACACATATTTATGGGAAATCTGTAATAATCTGATCAAACTCGCGCGTGAAGCACCTTACGCAAATCGCTCCTACCCGCTGGTTATTATATTATTCAAATCCCGTTGAGGCCATAAAAAAAAATTTTTCGGGCTTCTTATGCAAATATATAAATTGCGTTCACACTTGCTAGGATCATTCTTCAATTGATTTCCGTTTCCGCAGTTCTTATATGATTTATTTCATATACATCTATGACATTTATCTCTCTCACGGGAACATATGAACATATAATTGACCAGCTCCCAACATCAGTGGCTTCATAGCTCAGTTGGTTGGATCATGCACCGGTATCGCGAGGTCACGGGTTCAAATCCCGTTGAGGCCCTTAAAATTTTTTTTAGGCTTCTTACGCAATTGCATAAATTGCGTTCACAACTGCGAGAATCATTCTTCATTTGACTTCATTTCCGCAGTTCTTATATGATTTATTTCGTACACATCTATCTAGAAGAATTGACAAATGCCCCAACCCCGGGCAGAAGTTTCTGACAAATCCCCACCACCGGTACCGACAAGATGACAAATGCCTGACAAATGCAAACCTGAGATCAGGCTCTATTTTCGTTTCGCTTTGAAAATTACATTCCGGCGGGCAAGGCGAAACGAAAAGAGATTTTAGCGGTAGCCGTTAGAGAGAATGTATGAGAACCGCTAAAATTGGGCCTGATCTCAGGTTAGACAAATGCCGGGCCGGGGGTTGGGGGATGGGCACGCTTGGAATTGACTCAGGTATTATTAAGATCTTTTCATAGCAAGCGGGTTCAAGATAGTTGGGTTTACAACCAAATTTCACATTTATACAGGATCCATTTTATGCCATTGTTTCTTTAATTACGTCTATTTCGTTTGAAAGACAAGGGAAGCCCGAGTTCACGCAGTGATGTGTCTAGTTTTTTTGATTTTGATTTTGATAAAAATCAAACCACCATCGAATGACATGGTCTGACCGGAAATACGGTGTCGGTACGTCAACATTTACGCAAATACGCAAATGGCCAGCGGAAAACCCCAACTGCCGGTTAATTCTCTTTGTAGACGACAGCTGCTATGTTGTCGTAACCAAATATTGTATAACTTACGTTCTTCAGCAGAGTGAAATGCGGTTGTCTTGAATGGAATTAGAAGTGGATAAGAGCCAAAATACTTTCTACCGGACCTGAGGAAAACATTTTTTCTGGGCGAACTTATGTCGAAACGATGGAAGAATTACAGCAACTCTCACACGGACAACGCAGATGGCTTTGTGAATCGTCCACGGGATTTTCTCAAGTTGTCCGTTGTAATCGGGTTTATGATAGCAATTGCTCTCATTGCTCTGTACTACAGCAACTTTTTGATAATTTTGATTATCATAGCCGTGTGGATATCGTAAATATCGTAAACAAAAGCGAAAAACCGGTCGAAGATGAGACACATTTAGAGGCGATGCTACGTTACTTGGACAGGATCTTCTCTTGGCTTTTCGAACCATTTTTGTCCTGTTTCGCCGTTCAAGTTTCCATCACTTTACTACAGCTTGCTTATGTATGGTCACAACAAGTTATTTTGATCTTGGATGATCTATTTGCTGGTCACTTGTCAGTGGAACGGGTAGAAAGAACAAATTATAAGTTGGGTAACCTCGAAGTTGTATGAATGAGAATCCATGCGGAGAAAATGATTTATGTACAGTTACTATGGAGTTTACACGATCCTTGTGGAATGAACACTGGAGTGTTTTTGCACTTCAAATAAAAGGATCAATACATTACGAATTCATATATTCCTGTGATTGTTAGTACAGAATCAACTGGAGCAGCCTTTCTGTTGTAATGTAAATACATTTATATATATTGAAAATACTAGTTTGTAATATTGTCAAGTTAGAGATATTATTATTGTGGATTGTTGCCCTCACGTAAACTATCCATAGGTAACATTTCTTTTTAAATTTAGTTTGTTGTGTCCTGTAAAAAGTAACAGTTTGTTCCTGTAAGGGAACCATAAAGTAATTTGGCCGGAAGATAAATTTATAATTAACGTTCATTGCATTGTTTGTGGCATTTTTTTGAGTGGCAGGAGATCCACTTCAAATCTAGACATTGCATACTTATTAGACTGAACTTTGTACAGCAGATGAGCTGATTATATCTCAGCAAAAGAGCTTTTTTATGCCCCTCCTGGTTGTGATGCATATAAATTATCTATCTATGCAAGAAACGACCAATACAGCTATTGGATGCACTACAATAATAGTCATTATTAGAATTTATTCTGAGATTAATTTTAAGGATAATTTTGTCCATTTGCTGAGAAGGCCTAAAAATTGCTATTAACCCTTTAAGCCCCAATATCCACGTACAAATTCTCCAAACTGATCTCTATACATTTCCTTAAAGAGGTAGTTGAGAGAATTTGATAAAAGATCAAAGCATTTTCTCTTAAGTGATCATTTCATTAATTCTCATAACCTTATCTCTTGACAAAGTATGGATATCATTGAGAGAAAATTTATATCAGTCACCATTGGTAAAGGCTTACAGACTGGCATGGAGCCTGCAATGCCCTGGACTGCTGTTTATAAGCCCATCTAAAAGGCCCCCTAGCAGTTAGAGATCCATCTTGCTGTAAACGAAACAATATGTCCAAAATTATCGGCTCCCACCCCATGGATATAAGCCCTCCTCTAGCTTGTATTGAAATAAATTTTATTTATTACAAAGATTTGAAGCTTTGATTACCATTGCTTTTGCTTGTTTTGAAAGCATTTTTTCCATTCTGGTTAAAAGCCCCCTTGGATATAAGCCCAGCCTCTCTGTTTAAAAGATGTAGCCTGGGGATAATAAGCAGCAGTTTACTTTAGGCCCTTCACAGCTAGTCATTTACTTGCCTGTGTCGCAGACACTCTAAACCTTCTGCATAGAGCCTCTGCGAATTGGTGCACAATATTGTGTTTGAATTCCGCAGAGTGGCAAGGACATATGTTGACGTTTTTGATTGGCAATTTCTTACACAGTTTGTGATTAGTCCAATTTGAATTAAGTGTTGACAGGCCAAACACAACTAATAGCTCGTGACAAGAGAGATTGAGTTTGTGATAGTGTGAATTGTGACTTTAGAGTCAGCTTGAACAACAGAGGTTTTTTTTTCTCTCTTTCTGTGTAGTTTAGGCAGTGCATGGAGTATTCTACACTTTCACTGAGCTAATTTTGTCTTGTCGCTTTGAGTCTTACATTTAGAGGTTATAAAACTGGTCTGTTCCATGCACATGTGTAACTAGTTCCTGTGGTTTATACTTCTGCAGATGTTGGCTGACAGGATTTGGTCACAGATGCATGCGCAGTTTACCATTAAATGATTTTCTTTTACTTAAGCCTTAGGCTTTATTGCAGCTTCTTTGGTTTTCTCTGAAATGCCCGGACTTGAAGCCTTAGGCTTTATTTTTGGCTGTGAATATCATGATTTCCTGATTTGTTTTGACGCTAGAACTATCGGCTAGATCGCAGAATACATGGCAATGCATCTGCAGTGATTGGAAGACACTGGAAAACCAGTCCACAAATTTACAAGCAAATTCTGGCCTTGAAGGAATTCTCTCAAAGCATTTTTTGTTCAAAAGAAGGCTTTAAAGTTCGAACTGCTCTTTCATTGTTTACTGTAAATGATCCTTGCCAACTCCTCTCCGTGAATTTTGACATGTCACTGCGCCCAACCGTCATGCACAACTAAGAATTAGGCCAATTGTGAGGTGCATAAGAAACCTGTAAGAAACCCGCCTATCAGAAACGCTCACATATGTCCTTGCGACTCTGCCGGATATTAAAATGAGTTTTTGTGCACTAATTCGCAGACGTCTGGACCATATTAATGGTTAAGACGACTGCGTAAGCTGGCTGCAACACAGGCTGGTTATTCACATGGTACAAAATTGTCACTGAAGGAGCCGAAGAGATGCATGCAGAGAAAACAGAGCTAGAAATAATATTATTTTTCTTTTAACCCTTTAGGCACCGATAGTGACCAACAGCAATTTTCTCCTAACGATATCCATACACTGTCATGAGATGAGGTTATGAGAATTAATAAAATGATCACCTCAGAGAAAATACTTTGATCTTTTATCAAATTCTCTTAACTAATTCTTAAAGGAAATGTATAGAGATCAGTTTGGAGAATTTGTATGTGGATATTGGGAGTTAAAGGGTTAAAAAAGAACATACATCCAACCAGGTTACTGTAACTTCATGCATATAAATCCAATTGTTGAACATAAACTACATTGACATATGATTTCTTTCAATGCTCTGCTAATCTTCAGCTTCAAAATGATGGCACAGAGGCAACTGAGCTGTCTGCTCATCATGTTGACCCCAGGAAGGATTTTGTTGGCAAGGGGCAAATGTTAATCAGACATGGCCTGATGATAAGCTGTTATATTTGTAGCTCAAGAAGGGCTAAGATTTGAAACTAATACTTCCAGTGAATCCCAAATTGTACTGCTACATGAATCACCACTGGGACCAATTTTCTCATTTTTCAATAATGGTGTTGGGAAAGTCACTGTAAATTCAGCTATTTTGTATGATTCTTCATATCTGCCTTTTGATACAGCCTGCGTTGCACCTGGACCTGTCACTCAAGACCCAGGATTTAGACTGTCTGCAACACAGGCAACCTTTTAAACCTGTTATTGATCAATGTCACATATGGTGGTCAATAAGGTAATATAGGCCCCTCACTGGTCTCCTTAGAACCAACACATAATTGGCTGCATACATTACATGACAATATTATTATAAATTATTATTTCCTAAATTAATGTTTTATCATAAGAAAACATTTCAACGCAATAATTATTAAACAAAAGGAAGTTTTATTTAAATTTCAAATAATAAATTTACAGCCTATGTAATGAAAGTAAAGTGTGTAAAAGATCTACAATGTTCCTGAACTAGTGTTGAACATCTTGAGCTGATCTCGAGTTTCTTTAGGTTAACAACTCTATTAAAACATCTTCACAGCCTTTTTTCTTGTCACAAGCTTAGTTAGTGGGAACATCTTCTCTCAGTGATACTGATGTCATCACAGCATGTAGAATCATTTTGGATGTTATGTTACAATGCCTTTCCATGTAAGATGTAAACATCATGAAGTGGCCTTAAAAAGTAGAATTATATAAACATTGTAATCATCTATTTAAAGGAAAAAGTTGNTCTCCTTAGAACCAACACATAATTGGCTGCATACATTACATGACAATATTATTATAAATTATTATTTCCTAAATTAATGTTTTATCATAAGAAAACATTTCAACGCAATAATTATTAAACAAAAGGAAGTTTTATTTAAATTTCAAATAATAAATTTACAGCCTATGTAATGAAAGTAAAGTGTGTAAAAGATCTACAATGTTCCTGAACTAGTGTTGAACATCTTGAGCTGATCTCGAGTTTCTTTAGGTTAACAACTCTATTAAAACATCTTCACAGCCTTTTTTCTTGTCACAAGCTTAGTTAGTGGGAACATCTTCTCTCAGTGATACTGATGTCATCACAGCATGTAGAATCATTTTGGATGTTATGTTACAATGCCTTTCCATGTAAGATGTAAACATCATGAAGTGGCCTTAAAAAGTAGAATTATATAAACATTGTAATCATCTATTTAAAGGAAAAAGTTGGAATTACCAGTAACTACAGCTGTAGGATCACTTTGGATGAAAATGGTATTGTTTTTGGATGGTGTTGGGCCAGATCTCACAAACGTTGGGGTTGAAAATCCCCACTCTGAATTGTAACTCAAGGCAATTATTACTGCTAACAGTGAAACTTGTATTAAGCAGACACCCAGCCCTTTATTTGGCAAACAGTACGCTAAGATGACAAACTCTATTTCCCATATTTACTGTAACTGAACAGTTACAAGAAAGTGAGTCACCTCCCAATACATGTGTACATGCACAGTCAACAAAGATGCAATTTTATTAATTTTAGAGCCCCATACAGTGACACTAAAAGGCAAAATAAAAATAAATATTGATGAAAGATGAAAAATTATCATCTGCTTTCTCCCTCAGTCTCTAAGAAGCTTAGCATAGGTATATATCTTGGGAATGTTATATTTTTTAAGTGAATTTGGCTGCAACTAAGCCACTAAAGGTTTAAACCAAATTACCTGTCTGAAGGGTCAGTTTCTACCAGCCCTATTCTCCTGACTATTTCAATTCCACCAGACACTCTACCAAATACTGTATGTTTGCCTGCAAGAAATGACAAATGTAAGTAAGGCCTTTTCAAGAAACAGACAAGTTATTTTCCCCAAGAAAACAAACATCTATAAGGACCAACTTAACTAAAAAGGGAAAGGAAAGGAGCATATTTTTTTAAAAAAAACATTCTCTAGGACAATGCTATTGTAAAGTGCAACCTGGTTAATAATACACCAAGACAACATGTCGTGGGTGTCCATATAAAGCAGGCTCTCAGAAAAAACAACATGGACACGTGTTTTACTGATATGAAGAGGAAAGCAGACATTTTTGGGAGAAAACATTGTTTATTTCTTAGCTGTAACTTTAACAAGTTCATCCTACATAAACCTAAGGATCTTTTATTGTATTCTTGGACCAAAATTATCTTTTATAAGTATTTTCC